ATTTTGAACAAAATACTCGCAGCAAATGTGACCCAGGCATAACACAGCGGTATTTCGAACATACTATTGTTGCATAATCACGACTTAGCCAATTTTAAAGATTAAAACCATACTCCTTATTTTTATTCAACGATAGGAGCTCATGGTAAGTATACATTTTAACTTTTATACATCTTTACAAATACTAGAAATCTACATGTTCGAGTGGATCACCAAGGGTCCCCACATAGCAGCAGTCTCCATAAAATGCAAAATACCTGTATTGATAACGTGACTTTGACTGATTTTTTAATTGAGATGAACTTGTTGAAACATCGCGAAACCCCAGATACCTAGATATGACCTTGAAATGACGTTGCACAATACACATTGACTTTGACCTCAGGTAACCTAATCATGTGTCGTCAAGGGTCATTGTAGCCCTAAGGTAGTCACTACGCCAAATACTTAGATATTAATATTTGATCTTGAAACAAACTTGACCCATTAACATTGCCCTTGAACTCAGTTCCCCTAATCATTGGTTGCCAAGGGTCACAGCAGCGCAAAGGACTTTAAATCACCAAATACCTAGATATTGATATTTTACATAGGAATGACCTTGATTCAGGTCACCTAATAATGCCTCATCAAGGGTCGAATCTCAGACCAAGGTTAAAAAACGCGTAAACCTATAGATATTGGCATTTTAAAGAGACAATCAGATCTAGCAAACAGTTTAACAAAAATTGTTTCAAATTTAGAATATTTCTGGCTTATGTTATTCCTTTTCATGTCTATTTTCTAAAAATCCCCAAAGTGCACACTTTATTTCAGGAAAACTAAAGAGTTTACAACAATGTATATTTTTTCTATAAGAATGGTTACTTATTATTTGGGAGAATTTAAACAATTTTGCACTTTTAATCTAGATGTATTATAACCTCATTAATTTGTAACATATCGTAAATATTTTTTGAGATTTTGTATTTGAGATTGTAAGGAATAGATTGGTACGTCAATTGTACATGTTGCTTGTAATTTTGTCACGCCCATATATCTGATTCTGCCTTTAACGCTCACTGGCCCATCAAGTATGAGGGCAAAAGGAGATGTCGGGACCTATTATAAAGCATGTTTGGTCTGTCTGTCATTTTGTCTGTCTGTTGGGACATCTCCTTCTACACGATTTAACCTTATAGTAAGTTGGTCTCCGAAGGTCAGAGTTAAGTTCATCAAAGGTAAACGATCAATGTCTAGGTATTTGGCGTTTTATGATACTATGGCTCTTGGCGAATTATGATTAGATGTACCGAGGTCAACATTAATGTTTCTTGTACAAGGTCATCCCAAGGTCAAAGATAAATATTGAGGCATTTTACGTTTCAAGACCTTTGGACAAATTCGATTCGAAGAATCGGTCAAGGTCAAAAAATCAATATACAGGTATTTTGTAAAGATGTATTAAAGTTAAAATGTATACAGAGATAAAATAGGTTAGCTCCTATCGTTTCCTTGTGTATACGTTTATGTCTCTGCGTAATAAGGCAGATGCGAGCAGGTAGTTACCAGTCTCACCACAAGGTGGCTCGTTCGGGTCAGATAGCATGGCGGGTATGGTAGAAAGTTCCCTTTAACTTAAAGTACATCTGTTTTCGTGGTTCAATTTTCATATCACCCTTTTGTATCTAATAGCAATGCAAATTAAAATATGTCCAGTGAAAGAAAATGCAATACAAGAATAGATATTTCACTTTTTGTGATTTTGTAAGAATGGAGTTATTTTTTGTATAACGCATTGAAACAACTTTAAAAAGTGAGCAATGTCAGTGTTGTAATAATAACGCCCCTTATACCTATTTATTACAGGTCGTGTAGACCATTGTTGCCTGAGTTATAGCAAAAACATTGACTTTTGCACGTTGATGAAGATGATGCGCCTTTTATAATAGATCTCATATCTTAGAAGCGTATCAGTTCAAAAAAATACTAGAAGACCTAACATATTTTGCCATTGCATTGGTTTTACATACACTTTATTCTTACTCATTCTTTTATCAATCAACAATCAACAACAATTGCAATTTTATTCAACATTCATTTAGTCAAGATACATTTACAACATAACTATAAGTGTATTTTTTTGTCTACGTAAATTTTATTTATATTATTAATTGCATTACATTTACATGTACATATTTATATTTACATTTACATGTACATAAATAAGAATGAAGGAATAAAAAAAAAAAAAAAAAAAAAAAAAACATATTTTGCCATGCACTGCGCCTATTCATTTGGCAATCCAGTTGTAACTTTTATCTTGAAAAAATAAATCTTCCAATTTTGTTGAGTTTTCTTGCATCCATTTCGTATGATCACCGGGCGTGGTTTAAGCTGCCGATATTCTTCTTGAAACGAGTCGGATCTTCAAAATCTATAAGTTGGACTCCCTTTATAGAAGCTTTGAACTAAATTTGCACTGCTCAATGCTGAAATTATATTGTTTATCCATACATTTTGAGAAAAAAATGTATAAAAGAAGATGTTAAGCCAAATGGTGCCCTAAAAATTCAGAAAAAGTAAAAAAATTCGAATTTTCTATGTACAGGCCTGGTTGCCCCTTTAAGAAGCTCAATATGTAAATTATCTAATCAAACACTTCGTCCACCATTTTGAAACACTAATCAAACCAATCTGTGCTAGCGATCCATAGGGCGAGCCATTGGGATATTTCCAGGGTTCGTACACACCTGCAAATGTCAGGGAAATTGATTCAATTTTCCAAGTGCTCGAAATGTCAGGGAATTTTAAAATTAGGTCAAAAGGGCCAAAGATGTCCGGGAATTTTGAAACGGTAGATATTTCAGGGAAATTTGTATCAGTGTTGAAAAAATAATGTTCCAGAAAAAAACATTTTAGGACTATGACAGGATATCAATGAAATCCAAAATGTAATATTTAGATGATTCTACAGGCTAAAGTATGAAAACGTAGATCACATATATCTAAAAAACTAATAAATTTCATAGATCTAGAGGCCCTTCGGGAGTGGAAAACCTTTAATAATCAGAGGTTAATGTTTCCAAATTTGTTTTGAAACAAACTAACGTCTTGTTTTCAACCTACACCTTGCTCCTTTCTGTCGTACTTAATAAAACAAAAATAGTATATCACGGAGGGATACGAACCACTGACCTGAAGCTTGGTTATTCACTAGCGCCATAGGCGTTCACCTATTCTGGATACTGACGAGTTGTATTTACGTGGAGTCAAAAGTGAAGATCATTTTGAATAGACTAGATGCGAATAGAAATAATCTTGATTTACGTCATTAAATATTCAAAATACAGACAAAGTGATGTCATATTTGAAATCTACATGTAAAAGTACATCTAGAAATATGGTTTCGAAAATTGTTTATCAACTTTGAAAACTAATTTTTTTTGAAAATGTGATTGTTTATCAAGTTTGAAAATTTAATTATTTTTGAAAGTGTGACTTCCAGTTCGGGTTGATTCTCCATAGAGCCCATGTTACAAAATCACAAAAAGTGAAATATCTTTTCTTGTATTGGACAGATAACATTTTCTTTTCCTGGACATATTTTAATTTGTACAACTATTAGATACATAAGGGTTATATAAAAATTGAACCACTAAAATAGACGTAATTTAAGTTAAAGGGAACTTTCTACTATACCCGCCATGTTATCTGACCCGAACGAGCCACCTGGTGGCGAAACTGGTAACTACCTACTCGCATCTGCGTTATTGACGCTCGGTATAAATATATAATACTTTTGTTCTTTTATATCGGTAACACTTTGGCCTCATGGGCTACGTGCCTAGCTTCCACGCTGTAGGTTAGTCGATCGAGACCCATTCATGTCAAATTTTTTGATTTGCTTGTTGTCAAACTATAATAAGTAGAGCAAAATCCAGAAAAAGTAGATCAAAAATACTCCAATGGAGTATAAAATTGTCACCAGGATTCCGAAATGAGACGAATGTTAACTCGTTAAATCTCGGTAGATAAAGTAGGTCAGAAAATCCGGATTAATCCGAACAAGGTTCGGGAATATTCGTCATAAGAAGTAGATCAAAAATACCCCAATGGAGTATAAAATTGTCGCCAGGATTCCGAAATGAGACGAATGTTAACTCGTTAAATCTCGGAAGATAAAGTAGGTCAGAAAATTCGGATTAATCCGAACAAGGTTCGGGAATTTTCGTCATAAGAAGTAGATCAAAAATACTCCAAGTGGAGTATAAAATTGTCACCAGGATTCCGAAATACGACGAATCAAATCGGCAAACTTCGGTAGAATAATGAAGTGCATAAAAACCGAAATGATCCGAACAACGTTCGGATAAAATCGTGAAACAGGTGTCAGGGGCTTCCCCTCATCTTTCCCGAAATGGTTCTAAAACCCATATATGGATCTATCACGTGACATTCAAAATGACGTTCCTATATGGTTCTACGGGCCTTATATGGATCTTTCGAACACGTGACCAAATATACCAAATCAAAATCAAAATTTTACCTTGACCATTGGATGGGATTTCATAGAAAATATCCAAGAAAACATATTCTCGTGATCCATAAATCACTTAAATTCGATCATTTTATCTTCACCCCTTGATGGAATTTTATGAAAGAAGCTATGAAAACACATCATCATGTAAGGGTTTTCACCTAAATTACCTCGTTTTATCTTGACCCTTTAACTGAATTTCATTAAAAATTGTTACATGAAAAATATCTTCATGTTATGATTTGTATTTAAATAAGACCCTTTCATCTAAATACTTGGATAATATTTCATAAAAAATGCACTTAAAAATATTTCAGGATTTGCCTTTTATCAATGTAATGTAAGTATTAGATTGACTCTCAAATAGGGTTCTATTTTAACTTTTTTTATTGAAATTAATACTAGGCAGGACTCACTCTCTAAATAGCTAATAAAAATCCAACCCTTGGATGTGATTTCGTTGAAAAAAAATATGACAAGTCCAGAATCAAAAGATTTGTCCAGAACCTCTTAAGATTCTGTTATGAGCATATTTGAGCACTAGATCCTTCGTGGTCTCATCTGAATCCTCAATATCTTGCGAGATGTTCTCCAAGTACACTATACGCGATGACTCATTTTTGACTCCACATAATTTCTTAATCGTTGCAGTTCCACGCCCGCCATTGCTAGACTTCGATATCTCCCTAGCCCCCTTAGGTTGGGGTTTGGTTGGAGGGATGGCGAGGGAACAGGGTGGAGGAGACGTCGAGGAGTCAATCAGTTTCGGTTTTGAAGCCACAAGCGGCGGGAACTTTATTGGATCCACGGGAATTGATGCAACTGTCGTAGAGCAATCAGAAACACTACTGGTGGTCATAATAGGAGGAACATTCAACGTTGCACAATTACTTGTAGCTGCGGGTTTTGTTAATGTATTACTTGGCGACGTAGCTGTCTTAACAGAGGGTTTACGATTGTTTGAGTCGGAGCTATAATTATCAGAAATACTCACGACACTGGGCATTTGAGTAGATGTACTGTTTTCACAGTCAGTCGGCTTTAATCCCACGTCAATCTGTGCTGCTGTGTGTTCATTATTAGCCTTATTGATATTGCCCAGCAGGCATTCATGTTTACAAACAGAACATGTCACTGTGACCCTCTGGTTTTTAGCTCAGCGAAGGCGATTTCAAGTTCCTTTATTTTGTTGACTAATGTAATATAATGTTCCTTAAGGCCATTAACACCCAACGGAGCTATCGTTTTAACTGCATCGGCACCGTTGTCATCATTTACCGTGTCTTTTTGAACAAAAGTTTCTATCGCAGAGATTGTCGAAGCATTGAGGACAGATCGTGGGAATGATGATGAGTCAAAATCGGCACAATATCTATACAAATCGAATACATCCCGGCATATCGCCTTCAGCTTGTCGGCTCCTCTGCGTAATTTCAGTCCAAAAACAATAGACTTATTACCAACCTTTGTTTGCCATTCAGCTTGCGCAGCCTTCAAAAGGGTTTCCCTCGTTTCACACAGTTGACCCTCGTCAAACTCATCACTCAAAGATTCAACAATGTTATCCTTTGGCTCCCAGTCAATTTTTTGGAGAAAGAACTGAACGCTTTCTTCAATATCCATCATGTATGGGGGCGGAACATCCATGGTAGGTCCGGTATTATCCATTCTACGTAGCCTAAAGTCCATTCAATAACAAACTCAAGCTTTTCTTTCCGAGGGCGCCGCCATATTGGAAACATATGAAAGTTATAAAAAGTGCACAAAACCATCATTTGTCGCCTCCATGGAAAATATCCTTGTGTATAATCCTCACACGTGTCTGCTCGAGACACTCAGTTTGTTTAGATACAGAAAAGACTTCCAATAGTCATGTATTTAGGTAGAAAATACTATATTAACTTTTAATATTAATATTAATATTACTACTGTAACTTTAACCGGTTTAGACTATATGCGACGAGAGTTGGTAGACACATTGTAATAATGTTTCTCTACAATCTGTAGCAATTTCATTGCAAAACTCCTAAATCTCTTAAAATTAGAGTATTCGTATCTTTACCTTCCGGACACCCTATATGTATTTGTTTTATGTACTGCCGCACTGGAATTTTCCATTGTGCCACTGATTAAAAAGTGTTTGGCAAATAAATAAATAAATAACAGTAACCCCGAGTTTTTTATTTAGAAGTTCTGAATGAACCTCGACTTTCACAGATTTTTCCAAACAACCCCGATTTTTAGAAAATTAGAGATTTCCTCCCTATTCATTTCAAGGTGTCGATTTAGTTTTTTTTAGTTTACTCCTGATTTTTTGGAACAAATTTTTCCATATATTTCAGACATTCCAATTTTCTCAAGATTTTTCAGAAAATGAACATCGATTTTCACGCCGATTTCTTTCCAAACAATTCCGAATTTTAGAAAAATATGTCCTGTTTTTATGTTTTACTAGGATTTTCTAGTATGCCCTCAAGAAGGGGAGGGGTGGCTCAGAATTCTTTATAAAGATAACAGATAATACACTGGGGAGGGGTACCCCAGAATTCATAATTAGGCCTTCTTCCGACCGAGACTTCGTTCACAATTTGGACTCTGATCTTAATTAATACACCAATGTTTCACGTCTTTTTAACAAAATGGATAAATTTCCGATAAAGAAAATTTGCAAGCGTCTTTATTATCATCATTTTCACCAACAAAGAGGTTGATTTGTATCCAAATATTTTATCCGTATGCTAATAGTGACATCCGGTTACTGATACATCCAAGGGCTCCAATAAACGAGTAAGAACCCCTCGCGTTAGCAATGCAACATTCACCCGATGACGTTCAGGTTATCTAAGTGTGGGAATTCTTACTCGATTATTGGAGATGATAGACATTTGCACGTGAAAGACTAGCTTTTCAATAACCGAATTTCTATTAACATACAGGTAAAATATTAGGATACAAATCAACTTCTTTGTTCGTGAAAATGATAATAATAAAAAGCTTACTTTTCCTTAAAGTGCCCGATAAACTATAAAATGCGCATGCGTCCAGGTGTTGATAAACTATAAATAGCGAAAATCCAGGGTTTGTCACCACACAGTCTGCACCACAATGTAAGCCAGGACGTGTTGAGAGAACAGCTAGTGTTGATATTGAATTTATATGTAGCCACATAAGTTTCCTTATTGAAATTACATATGGTTATTAGCAATACTTTGTAGGTGCTAAATAATAAAATATTTAGAGTATATATGAGAGAAATTGGTCATTTCGAACCTGTTGAAAAGTTTGTGGCTCTCGGCTACACATGTAGCCGGGGAATTTACTTCCATGAGTACACACATAAATGTGGGGTTCACCAAGAGGTACGCGACAAGGTGACCTGGCATCAAATGTGCGACTAAATGCTACTATCGAGAAGATAAAATAAAGAATACGACAATAAGTTATTGCATGTGAAAATTCCGAGCCTTCATCTCTGAAGTATTTTGAAGTGAAAATAGGATTTTTGTTTTGATACATGGATTCAGATGAACGTAACTTTATTCTGACAACTAATCAAAACTGAACAAAATTGATTGTACGTAACAGACAATCTATTGTTTTACAATGTTTTGATTGACTAAACGAATGAAACCAACAAATTATGACATGTAAAATGACAATTTTGAAATGTAAAATTTAAAGGTGACAAACACAACAACAAGTAAATTAGTAATATGTACATGCAGCAGTGGTAGTGTACAGCTTATTATCACACTACGCTTTGTACTCTAAAGCCTGTTGTTTGTAATAACACTGTTCACTCAACGTATGTTTTGTGTGTGGGCAGTCAACGATAATCATTGTTTTATCCCGGTTATAAGACCTCGGCAATTATAAAAAAACGTACTAAACGAAAAAACGCAAATAAGAGAAAGCTTTCACACACATATAAAAATGAACTAGTCTAATCCGCCAGTATAAACTCTGTGCTATACGTAGCCGGGTCAGGCCCACACTTTAAAGGAAATTCATCAATTTTGCCATAAAGATGTAACCAGATAGGGACCAGTACATTAGCAAATAACTGTAAATTAAGTGATTTTTTCATTCATGTTCGGTATCTAAGAGATGGTACTTGATTTCCAAATCTTTTAAGTGGATTAAAACTGAACGATGCCACATAGAGATAGTGTCTGTATATTTAACAACACAAGTTGACAAGTTTCAAATAATTGTCAATAAGTTTTTTTACTGAGTAAATAACAAGTTGTAAGGTTGGTCCATTACTCTTCGCCACCGTCTCATAGCCATACCAAGCGCTGTAAATCATTTTAAGGAACCGGAGCAGACAAAACTGAAAAGTATAGAATACCGTATTACTGGATTTTTGTAATTTTTATGTATCTGTGGATGGTGCACACAATAATTTTTTATGCCTGGTTTTATTCACTACAATCCGTTTCTTGGATTACGTCGAAAAACTGTTAAAATAAAAAATAAAATAAATCTTAATGCTAGAATAAGGGTTTACATGCGCTGTATGCATTGAGGCTCATGACACATAATTTACTTACAGAGGCCATCAGCAGCTGCACAAACTCTGTTGATCATCTCTTTCACGATGTTTTCCAACTCATTGAACTGTTCCAGTGTTTTGATGTCGGTAGCTGTATTTCTTACAAGTGCCTCATATAAGGACATTGCTGTTGGTATACATAACGAGTATTAGACACATTGATTAAAGTTATTTTGCCTTGTTAAGAGATGTTTGGTCAATAAACAATAAAATTTCAAAAAATGTACAAAAAATCTTTCATAAAGTTCTTTGACTTCGCAAATATGTTTCAGTATTTATATAGTTTAGTTTAGTTTAATTATTTATTTATAGTGGTTAGTCTTACAATTCAATTATAAAATATACAAAATTAATTTCAATTTTACCTAGCCCACACTGGGCTTATTAACCACTGTTTACAATAGAAAATACAAAATTAATACACGAAAATCAATATCACAGGTTGTAAATGAATTACCTTCTCCGCACAAAAGCCATCTTCATATTTAACAATTTTACAGGTATGTTCCATAAAAAGAAATCAATTTTGCTACCTTCATATAATAATATATAATATATAAGCATACAAACCTATTCTCTTTTGCATTTGTTTCTTAGCTGAGTTATCTTCTCGATCGGGTTTGTTTGGAAGCGCAAGTATGTAGACATCATTTCTCCAATTCTCTTTCAGTTCATGAGCAGCAAGTTTCACATCCTGGAAAAAGTTGTTATGAAAGGGTTGTCCAATAATTCTTAAACAATATCTGATATATGATGAATTGTGGATGTTCGAATTAGACTAAATTCGGATAACATTGTGATTGAAGTAATCTAGTATATTCTGAGAACGAAAAGGACTCACCTTTATGGCTTCACTCTTGGAGATACATGGGTAGTCAGTTCTTGGACATGTGTTGTTTCCCGTGCTACTCATGCAGCAGCCAGCCGTGCAACATGGAAACGCAACTCCATCAGTCGCCATCATAATGAAGTTGTTTACATCCTCACGATCCCCACGATCTCCTTTCAATACCCTAAACACAAATGTGTTCAACCATGCATCATTGAACATATGTTCCGTATGGTGTTTTTGCTTTGTTGAACTTTTTGCAACCATAGAGAAGAATGGATTGTTTTCCATAGTGTGATAATTCTTAAATTGATTTAAAGGATTTATTTTTGACTTCAACAAATAGAATATCCATCTGAAGAATAAATGTTTTACGTTTAGAGCATGGTGGGAATCAAAAGTTATGAAAATGAAACTGGAAGTGGAGGTAGAAGTCTCCTCTAAACAGTATATGGTAATCCCCCGACTTCTTTTGATACCAACGGCCGTGGAATTAATGACTGAATCCGTCAGTTGAATTGCTTTTAGTGTTCTGTATTGTTATTAGAAGATGTTCTCTGCATATTTTTACACAGTTAACCTTAACTTTGAAGACAGCCGAAGGGTAATTGGTCCTAGAATCGTTTTCACAAAAACCCTTATGAACTCATCAAATTTCAAGCATTGATCATTATCAATCAGAGATAAGATATTTAGTTTTTGGTTGCTAATTCAGCTAACCTCACCTGTTAAGAACATATTGAAGTGCTGCATCTGTACGTGTCCCAACGCCTGTATAATCAATGACACTATTTGTCAACGTATCCTTTGTTCCTGCATAGTCCGTAGTTTCATCGAGGTATTGGTGGATCGTAACCACTTCATCGAATGAGACGATGGCCACTCTCGTTTTATCCATGCCTAGATGGAAATAAATAAGAGATGCATCAATAAACATGTTAGCACTTTTACTGGACACCTTCTGTTTTAGCATAGATTCATCTCATGAAATAATAATATTTTACTCTCAAACTTTTATAACCCAGTAAAAAGTTGATGGACTTGTTAAAGTTGATGAGATATAGTGTTTTCAAATTTAGTATTGAATTAAAATAGGCGGCGATCATAGTCATGAGCTGCGTCTGTCAAATCTCGTTGTACACGTTGGTATAGCTTTTAGGACTCTTACCCAAAAGTAAATCATATTTAATATGAAGTGGAACCCTTCAAATTTGTATTGCACCTTTATTCCATGATATGAATAGCCTAGATTGGAACCGGAGATTCGAATGCTAGCGACGAGACCGTAGCCGAATGTTATTTGGTATTTATAGATATACTGTCTTGTTTGGTATACATTTGGCCTTAGTTATGCCTCTCCAATACTCCCGCGGTATATTTAATAAATTCAGCTACTGCCAAAACCAACTACAGGTTCATACGACCAGATGCCAAATAACAATACCTATTGGGACGGCAGCTAGTAACTGTTTGAAAAATGTCTTAACAGCCATCAGATTTACAGATTTTATCTCATGGTGGTTATCTGGGTCTTTCCTGATCCGTTCCCATTCAGTAGATTTGAGTAAACTCTGTGACGTGTCTATCACCAACACCATGTCCAGTTGGGAACAATCTGGATGAAAAATAAGAATTTTTATGATAGAATATTTCTGTTTCTCAAATTTTGTTTTCTGAAATTCCAAATGGACAGCAATTAAACATTAAATTTTGTTATTTTCCTTTTCTTAGTCCGAGCTGCTTTCTTAAAGGGTTCCGATAAGCATCCCGTATAAAAACAATATGGCGGCTCCAGGCGAATCAACTGGATCAGTCCATTTTTAAGAAATAAGGGGAGTTCTGTAAAATCCAGTTTATTGAAATTGTCTTTGAGATAAAGTAATCCGTTTATAATGATTTTGAAAACGTTATCCATGGAGTGAATGCGTTCAAACAGTACATGTACAACAGCCAATATAAATCCTTGTGTTAGAACTGCTTTGTTTCATTTGTGTAGGATATTTCATATGCCAAGCTGTGTGCTATTACGTTATGGGGAAATTTAGATGCCAATTTTTCCTTATTATACACAAATAGAAGATCCTGAAACTTCACCCATAAATTTGAAATTGATTTGTCAAAATAAAAATCACCCTTTTATAAATGTGTGACGATCTATAATATACTTATGCTATATAACAGTTAGAGGTGTTGACACAACGACATCGAACCTGTGAACCCTTGAGTATTATTCCGGGATCGGGCCTTTTATACTAAACGGTGAGCAACACCAGAAACGAGCGTTCGATTTGCTAAACGATATGCGTCACCCTTTAAGTGTTAAATTTTTGGACAAAATAATTATAAAATCGGGTCGAAAATGCCTTACCTTTGTCGCCTGTACATGTCTTGTAAGAGTTGATGATATCCGCAAATTGTCCGGCTAAACCTTCATCATTTATATCAAAGACATGGTCATCATTTCCCCCAGTAAAGCCTCGCAGTTCCACTGAACCATCACGTTCATTTTGATTTATCAGCCCGATGGTGTAAATCTCAACTCCCCGTGCCCTCAGTTTGGCGGCCTCTGCCAAGGCGGCTAGTGATCAATGAAAATGTTATTACAGTTTATATAATGTCGATGACATCATCAATATTATCCAGTTATCGACTGTCAATACATGTGCCCTCTTCAAAGAAAAAACGGTGCATCAATCATAAAAATTATTATTTCACTAAACTCTTAAAGACACATCGTATAAATATTGTGAATAACTGGTGGAAGTCTTACAATTTAATTTCACGTCGCATAAGATCCCCTTTTTGAGAAAAATGCTCTTTATCGCATTTCTCATATTTATGACGTCAATTTATAGTAAAAAGTCACACTCATGCTTTTGTGGGTGGTTCCATTCAATTCGTTTTAACTCTTCACGACATAAACGGAATTCTTTGGAATTTTCCCCATTTGGTCAAAGTATACGTACATATACTTCTGGATGTTTAGTATAACATTAACAATGGACAATAAAAAGATATGATTAATAAAGGACCTTGCACCTTTTTTCTTTACAGATGGAGGGTATATATATCTTCCCTTTTATTTATTTAGGTTGTGCTTAAAGGTTAATGCAAAAGTAGACTAGGAAAGCATTTGCACTTATTTGAATGAAGTTAATATTATTCATTGAAAATTAATTCGAAGCATAAGTTAACTTGGCATTATTACTCTTTATGCTCTATTAACATTAGTTAAGTTATAAGATAAATGGGTTAAAAGGAACTCCTTTTAATATTAAAAATATGTTACGCTTACAAGGTCGACCTTTCATCGGAATAGAGGTTCCATCTGTTATTATGATCATGACATCAGGGGCAATATTCCTAATTCCAAAGTCACGCTCTGCAGTTTCGTTGTCCCACTTGCCTAGACCAAAGAACCTAAAACAACCGTGTGACGAAATATGTGTAGTACAAGAAAATTACCCGAACTTTACACCAAATTCTGTTATTAATATTCATTTATTAAAAAAAGTAATAGTAAGGCTAATTTACAAGCGCTGAAGACACGAGAGACCACGTGATTCTGATAATCATATTCTAACATGTTGTACTCATGTTAGAATCGGGGCCTTGAGAGATATGATAAAATTGATATATAAAATATCTATGAAGCTTTAGTAAGTGAAACTCATTATATCTTTATTTGTCAGTGGGAACTTGCTCGCGATATACGGGGCCTGGATAGTCACCGTGTGTACTGACCTATTTGAATTGAACTTGAGAGCTTGTGAGGTATGCGTTCTACAAGTGCTCTGTTGTCCTAATGGCTGTGTATCTATGAATCCCTTTACAACATCATTGCTGGTCGTCATACTGTGGAAGAAGTTCATATTCACTGGAGCACTGTATCTGTAAATCAAGTCAATTTCTATAAGCTTGGGTAGGGGTAAGCATGTACTGTTTGTATAATAATTTATGAATATAGAAACATTCAACGATTAGTCTAAGTGATGCTAAAACAATGCAGGTTGAGGAATGTGGATCGAAACCCTTCTTTGTTAATTGTTTTCTAAGGACTATTTTGGCGGCTTAATCTCGATGTTAAGGAGATTGGAAATAGTTTTTACTTTGTTCTTCAGCATGTTCTATAAGAATTTCCTTACTGAATGGTGAGGAAAGAGGATTTGACATTTTTTCATCGGTTGATTTATTATAGTTTGGGATATTCGGCTTACCCATAAGGGGGTTAATTGCTATAAGAAGACTTGTACGTGAAAGCGTTCAAAATTTTATTCAAAATGTGTAGCTTAACCTCCCTATCGATATATCAAGTACTGGACAATGGTGCAAATCCATCAAAATTGACATGGAAACGCCATGTGCAGAATGTGATAAGGAATTGCGATTTGGATGGTTGGAGACACGAAGTTAACACATATAAAGAACTAACACTCTATAAGGAAGTTATCCAATGTGTGAAACCCTGTATATGGTGGACAATAGCTAGGAGTGATTCAAGGTTCATTAAAAGATGTAACTTAATGGTACGCTTAATGGTACGCTTAATGGTCGGACAAGGCCGCTTAAGAATTAACACAGGCGAATGGGAGGGAATACCGTTGAGAGATAGGTTTTGTGAGAGCTGCTATGAGGAAATTGAAACGCTTGAACACTTTGTCTTAAAATGTAGACTGCACAATAGGGGCACATTAAATACAATTCTAGATGGAGTACCAAACATTAGTGCAATGTCAAATTCAATGAAACTGCGAGCTCTCTTCGGGGGAGACAACTGTATTAACGAAAGTGGACTTAAACGCGTGAGCACTATTATACAGAACATGTACCTCGCCCGGATTGGAGTCAATTAGATTTACCTGGGATAGCTATGTATAAGTTAATAGTTATATATAAACAGGCCGTCCCCCTACGATGAGTGTGTGATGAGCACCGTGTGTGACCAACGGAACGTCAGTTATCTCAGAATACAGGTGTATTTTCATAAGGAAAATTTTTATCTTGTCAAATCATGTATAGCTCGTATGAATTGCATAGAATATTTTAACACGTAGCAAGAATGACCACCTGGACATGCAACATCGACCTTGGGGAAGATGTATGCGGTTCCAAGTATTTCATAGCTTTTTATGTTCATCTTTGTGCATTATACCTACTCTTATCAATTCTCAGATCCTACTTATAATGTTATTGGTGTTTATTAGAGTTCTATTTTGTCTATTGTTGTTTAAATTTTGATACGCATCCAATAATACTGCAATATATAATTATTATATTATCTCCAATCAATGGAGGGAAAATAAATCTAATAATAATAAAAATCGGTTACATACCTCACGAGAGACATTAACACTGCATCATCTCCAACAATAATTCCATCAACTAGATCCTTGATGAAATCTTTAACTTTCTGCATGTCTTCATACACAGAGCAACTCTCGTCAATGACGAAAAACACATCAACACAGGCTTCATTGATAAAACAGATGATATTACAAACATATAATAAGGACACGTCATACAGAGGATAAATACGAGGGGTGATCAATAAGTAATGGACGCTTTTTTACACGGATGCTTTTTATAGACCAATACCTTTGATTTTCTTACCAGTGATACATCATTCAAATATCTATCAACTCTGAAGATTTGAAAACAAAACATGTAATATATTTTGATATATTTTTATTTCCGTGAAGGAGGTATAGGTACCCCGGGACCGACATTTACGTCAAACATTCTGAAGTTATTTTAGCTTGTTTAACATGCAACGCAGTTGAATGCAGGCTGAACAAAACAAACCATTATGGTCATGAATTACCCCATTTTGTTATGCCATAGTTGATTTTGAATATTTTATCATCACTATGTGGTACTCATGTCACATTCATTCTACAGGGCCCTCTACATAGGTTCCATCAAGTGCTACATGTACAGAATTCTTCATCCTCTTAACTCAAGATTGTGAGACAAGGCTGAATCCATTCTCTGACATGGTAGCAAGATGCAGTTGCACGGGTTGTTTTATTTCATCAATGTCAATAAATCTGCGTCCCTTCTCTATAGAAATAAGTAGTATAGAAATAAATAAGTCACATGTGAGCAGATCTGGACAATATGGTGCAATGGCCAAGAGCTCAATTTTGAGGTCTAGGAATATTGTTTTCTGAACATTTTGAGATATGTGGGCAGGTGAATTGTCCATATGGAGTGGGGGGTTCTTTCTCTCACCAACCCCTTCTTCCACAATGCTTCCTCAAATTGACCTGGAAACCCCGACCATACAACACTCTGACATCACATCACTTACTGTTTACGTGTAACCAGTCAGCAAAATGTTTGAAACAACACAACACTTGTTGCATATAAAATAAGTGTAAATGTAACTGAAATTTGCCAAACTGGCTAAAAACTGAATATGTGACGTAAATGTCGGTCCCGGGGTACCTGTACCTCCTTCACAGAAATAAGAATAGATCAACATGTATTATATATTTTGTCTTCAAATCTTCAGAATTGATAGATAAGTGAATGATGCATCACTGGTTAGAAAATCAAAGGGATTGGTCCATAAAAAGTATCTGTGTAAAAAAGCGTCCATTACTTATTGATCACCCCTCGTAATGATGAAACAGAAAATTATTAAACCTTATATTTTTGAAGTATTTTTGCGTAAATTAAACGTCTTAAACTAATAGGTAGATTGATTTACACCGACCTTTCCTCGGTGGAGAACCAGGGACAAATTCCATTTGAGGTGGAACGCTTGACTTGACAATACGATCTCCAAGATCCTGGGTTGGTCTGAAAACGTCCTTCAAAGGATTTCCATCCATGTCATTGAGACCTTTGAATGCTTCCAGCTACAAGTAGCAGATGCAAGTATAATATTTATTGTTTAGGGGATTATAATTGTTGCGCATGTTAAGAAGCCATTATCTTGAAGTTCCAAAATGTATAAATTAAGTACCTACAGGGGGTCCCGAAAGTATGCCCCCTAGGCAGACATATACCAATGGGCCCATAGTATGTGTCATATATCATTTTAAAGCTCATACAATTGCAAACTTACATTGATTTGCCAAGTATCATGGTTTTATCACTTTTGAAATGCCTGTTACTTTTTAACATGTGTGAGTTGAACCATGATACTTGGCAAATCAATGTAACATTGGAAGAGCTTTAAAATTATAAATGACACATACTATGGAGACATTAGTATATGTCTGCCTAGGGGGAAGCATACTTTCGGGACACCCTGTACATATTTAGGCAAGATAACACCCATTGCATCTCGTGGTCAACCGTAAAATAACCATGAACTATACAAATGTAATTTACTGAATGTTACCTGTCTTTCTGAGATCAAAACAGTGTCTGCGAAAACCGTCCACAAGGTATTAAAACATGGTGGGTTGGAAAACCTTCCCTGGTATCTGTAATAATTTGTCGCTGCGGAGAATGGCAGAAGATCCTCAAATCGGAGACTACCTGTGATCTTCGCCTTTGAGCCTTGTAAGGAAATGAACGATTTAAACAACGTATGCATGTAATGTTGCGGTAAAATGTCACGAGTCTGAGAACAAAATACTAAATATACTCTAACCCGAATAATGTTACATTTATTGCACATATATCGGGTGTCCCAAAAAATGATGAACCAAATTCACTGAAAATGTGTACAAAGTAGCCTAGGAGTATCATTAGCAACTTGTAAAATATATGGAAAAAGTAAATAACCTGTGCGCGTACTAACAATTTGAAATTTAAAATCGCATGCCAAAAATTCCAATAACGGAGCTCTGCGATGAGACCTAAATAGCGTTTGTACCAGTTATCAGGTGTATAGTACGGAAAGCTATAGGGGACATGCGCATAATTCAAAATCGAATGGAGTTTTAACATGGGAGTGATATCACACACCGCGGCCCAGTCAGATAGATTTCATCGCGCACTGAATGAATTACAGGGGCCGCGTTGACCAAAGTTAATTAAAATAAAGTGCGCAGAAATTCCGGCATTCAGTGCGCGATGAAAAAATGATTATCTGTGAATAAAAAACGAATAAAAATTCGTGGCACCACGAATTTGATTTTTTTTCGAAAGACTGCGGAGTGAACCAGCGAAATGACAATTTTGGATAATATTGATGGCTCTAACGAGGAGAACTTTGAGATTTCCCGATTCTAGCGCGCAGCACATCCAGGACATGCGCACTTTTATCAGATTCGATTCTAAAATATGAAATATATCTAAAATATTGAAAATATATTATTTTGGGCCATTTCATATTTTTTAATTGATATTGTATAAAATATTTTCAATGTTTGAAAATTATAATCTTATAAATAACATTTTATGTAATAAAACTGTAACGAAATGGTAAATACGGAATATGATGCAATACAATGCAGTGCAATATGATGTTATACAATGCAGTGCAATATGATGCAATACAATGTGGTGCAATATGATGTAATACAATGCGGTGCAATATGATGCAATACAATGCAGAGCAATATGATGCAATACAATATGATGCAATACAATGTAGTGTAATATGATGCAATACAAAGCAGTGTTATATGATGCAAAAAATGCAGTGCAATATGATACAATACAATGTAGTGCAATATAATACAATAAAATGCAGTGCAATACGATGCAATACAATACAGTGCAATATAATGCAATACAATGCAGTGCAATGCAATACAGTGCAAAACAATGCCGTGCAGTGCAATACAATGTAGTTCATTTCAATACAATGCAGTGCAATACAATGTGGTACAGTGCAATACAATGTAGTGCAATACAATACATCGCAGTTCAATACAGTGCAATACAATGTAGTGCAATGCAGTGCAATAAAATACAATACAGTGCAATTCAATACAATGCAATACAACACAGTGCAATACAATACAATGCTGTGCAATACAATACATTACACTGCAGTAAAATACAATGCAGTGTAAAATGCAGTGTAAATCAAGACAATGCAATACAATACTGTGCAATACAATACAATGCAATATAATACAATGCAGTGCATTGCAATGCAGTGCAATACAATATGGTGCAGTGCAATATATTGCTGTGCAATACAAAGCAATGCAGAGTAATACAATACAGTGCAACACAATGTGGTACAGTGCAATATAATGCAGTGCAATACAATACATCGCAGTTCAATACAGTGCAATAAAATGTAGTGCAATGCAGTGCAATAAAATACAATACAGTTACAATGTAGTTCATTTCAATACAATGCAGTGTAATACAATGTGGTACAGTGCAATACAATGCAGTGCAATACAATACATCGCAGTTCAATACAGTGCAGTGCAATACAATACAGTGCAATACAATACATCGCAGTTCAATACAGTGCAATACAATGTAGTGCAATGCAGTGCAATAAAATACAATACAGTGCAATTCAATACAATGCAATACAATACAGTGCAATACAAAACAATGCTGTGCAAAAGAATACAGTACACTGCAGTACAATACAATGCAGTGCAATAAAATACAATGCAGTGTAATAAAATGCAGTGTAATTCAAGACAATGCAATACAATACTGTGCAATACAATATGGTGCAGTGCAATATATTGCAGTGCAATTCAAAACAATGCAGTGTAATACAATGCAGTGCAACACAATGTGGTACAGTGCAATACATTATAATGCAGTGCAATACAATACAATGCAGCGCAATACAATGTAGTACACTGCAGTACAATACAATGCAGTGCAATAAAGTACAATGCAGTGCAATATAATATAATACAGTGCAATACAGTACAATATAATGCAATAGAATACAATGCAGTGCAATAGAATACAATGCAGTGCAATACAATAAAATGCAGTACAATACAATACAATGATGTGCTATACAATACAATACAATGCAATGAAATGCAATTCAATGCTATGAATGTACACCTTCCACAGTCAAATAAACACAGATAAAATTGTAATAGTATGTTAGTGTATGGAGTTTGAAGTGGGTGGGGGATACAATTACCAGTCTGCTGATTGATGACTTAATAACTTAGAAAAGATCTCCTAGCTTTTAACAGGTGGCACTTATGTCTACCTTATGTTCTTGAACAATCTCGTCTAAGAATACAGACCCGTATCCTGGATTAACCTGGGGGAGTGGTTTTACCAAGGGGGAGATTTGGCCAAGAGGGGGGAGCTTTTTGACAGTTATGGCAAAAAAATCATGCGAAAAGTGCTACTAAGAATGGTGAAAAACTGCATGATTTTGAACGAATATTTGGCAAGGGGGAGGGGGTGAGGCCCCCTGGCTACGGCCATGGAATACATATAGGAACTTTCCTTCTCCCAGAAGAAATGGTATACAGGTATTACATCAATCATTCTGGTATTTTGTATACGAAGGTCTGTAGTTACTTTATTGAAAGATGGCAGTGTACACTGTGTACTACCATTTTGAGGTCAGTTTGACTTTATAATTCTGCGCACTATAATCTGTAATTCTCATAGATATCCTCTCTAGAGGCATCACTGTGATCCAAAATTACAATTTCGCAGGTCAAGTCTGCAGTCTTTCGAAAAAAGTTGAATTCGTTGTGCTACCGTTTCTTGTTGGGCATTTATCAACAGAAAACTATAATTACATCGCGCCAGCATATACAAGCTTCAGCGCGATATTTTGAGTGTGTTAATAAATAAAGTGCGCAGCTCGATCTTACTGGGCCGCGGTGTGCGATATCACTCATAAACAATTTTTAATTGCGCACTGAATGAATTACAGGGGGCGCGTTGTGCAAAGTGAATGAAATAAATAAAGTGCGCAGAAATATATCTGACTGGGCCGCGGTGTGTGATATCACTCCCATGTTAAAACTCCATTGAATTTTAAATTCTGCGGTATATCCCCTTTTCGCTTTCCGTAGCAATACAATGCAGTGCAATATGATGTTATACAATGCAGTGCAATATGATGCAATACAATGTGGTGCAATATGATGTAATACAATGCGGTGCAATATGATGCAATACAATGCAGAGCAATATGATGCAATACAATGCAGTGCAATATGATGCAATACAATGTAGTGTAATATGATGCAATACAAAGCAGTGTTATATGATGCAAAAAATGCAGTGCAATATGATACAATACAATCTAGTGCAATATAATACAATAAAATGCAGTGCAATACGATGTAATACAATACAGTGCAATATAATGCAATACAATGCAGTGCAATGCAATACAGTGCAAAACAATGCCATGCAGTGCAATACAATGTAGTTCATTTCAATACAATGCAGTGCAATACAATGTGGTACAGTGCAATACAATGCAGTGCAATACATCGCAGTTCAATACAGTGCAATACAATGTAGTGCAATGCAGTGCAATAGAATACAATGCAGTTACAATGTAGTTCATTTCAATACAATGCAGTGCAATACAATGTGGCACAGTGCAATACAATGCAGTGCAATACAATACATCACAGTTCAATACAGTGCAATACAATGTAGTGCAATGCAGTGCAATAATATACAATACAGTGCAATTCAATACAATGCAACACAGTGCAATACAATACAATGCTGTGCAATACAATACATTACACTGCAATAAAATACAATGCAGTGTAATAAAATGCAGTGTAAATCAAGACAATGCAATACAATACTGTGCAATACAAAGCAATGCAGTGTAATACAATACAGTGCAACACAATGTGGTACAGTGCAATACAATGCAGTGCAATACAATACATCGCAGTTCAATACAGTGCAATACAATGTAGTGCAATGCAGTGCAATAAAATACAATACAGTTACAATGTAATTCATTTCAATACAATGCAGTGCAATGCAATGTGGTACAGTGCAACACAATGCAGTGCAATACAATACATCACAGTTCAATACAGTGCAATACAATGTAGTGCAATGCAGTTCAATAAAATACAATACAGTTACAATGTAGTTCATTTCAATACAATGCAGTGCAATACAATGTGGTACAGTGCAATACAATGCAGTGCAATACAATACATCGCAGTTCAATACAGTGCAGTGCAATACAATACAGTGTAATACAATACATCGCAGTTTAGTGCAGTGCAATACAATACAGTGCAATACAATACATCGCAGTTCAATACAGTGCAATAAAATGTAGTGCAAAGCAGTGCAATAAAATACAATACAGTGCAATTCAATACAATGCAATACAATACAGTGCAATACAAAACAATGCTGTGCAATAGAATACAGTACACTGCAGTACAATACAATGCAGTGCAATAAATACAATGCAGTGTAATAAAATGCAGTGTAATTCAAGACAATGCAATACAATACTGTGCAATACAATACAGTGCAATATAATACAATGCAGTGCAATGCAATGCAATACAATATGGTTCAGTGCAATATATTGCAGTGCAATTCAAAACAATGCAGTGTAATACAATGCAGTGCAACACAATGTGGTACAGTGCAATACATTATAATGCAGTGCAATACAATACAATGCAGCGCAATACAATGTAGTACACTGCAGTACAATACAATGCAGTGCAATAAAGTACAATGCAGTGCAATATAATATAATACAGTGCAATACAGTACAATATTACGGAAAGCGAAAGGGGATATACCGCAGAATTTAAAATTCAATGGAGTTTTAACATGGGAGTGATATCACACACCGCGGCCCAGTCAGATATATTTCTGCGCACTTTATTTATTTAATTCACTTTGCACAACGCGCCCCTGTAATTCATTCAGTGCGCAATTAAAAATCGTTTATGAGTGATATCGCACACCGCGGCCCAGTAAGATCGATTTCTGCGCACTTTATTTATTAACATACTCAAAATATCGCGCTGAAGCTTGTATATGCTGGCGCGATGTAATTATAGTTTTCTGTTAATAAATGCCCAACAAGAAAGGGTAGCACAACGAATTCAACTTTTTTCGAAAGACTGCAGACTTGACCTGCGAAATTGTAATTTTGGATCACAGTGATGCCTCTATAGAGGATATCTATGAGAATTACAGATTATAGTGCGCAGAAATATAAAGTCAAACTGACCTCAAAATGGTAGTACACAGTGTACACTGCCATCTTTCAATAAAGTAACTACAGACCTTCGTATACAAAATACCAGAATGATTGATGTAATACCTGTATACCATTTCTTCTGGGAGAAGGAAAGTTCCTATATGTATTCCATGGCCGTAGCCAGGGGGCCTCACCCCCCTCCCCCTTGCCAAATATTCGTTCAAAATCATGCAGTTTTTCACCATTCTTAGCACTTTTCGCATGATTTTTTTGCCATAACTGTCAAAAAGCTCCCCCCTCTTGGCAAAATCTCCCCCTTGGTAAAACCACTCCCCCAGGTTAATCCAGGATACGGGTCTGTATTCTTAGACGAGATTGTTCAAGAACATAAGGTAGACATAAGTGCCACCTGTTAAAAGCTAGGAGATCTTTTCTAAGTTATTAAGTCATCAATCAGCAGACTGGTAATTGTATCTCCCACCCACTTCAAACTCCATACACTAACATACTATTACAATTTTATCTGTGTTTATTTGACTGTAGAAGGTGTACATTCATAGCATTGAATTGCATTTCATTGCATTGTATTGTATTGTATAGCACATCATTGTATTGTATTGTACTGCATTTTATTGTATTGCACTGCATTGTATTGTATTGCACTGCATTGTATTCTATTGCATCATATTGTACTGTATTGCACTGTATTATATTATATTGCACTGCATTGTACTTTATTGCACTGCATTGTATTGTACTGCAGTGTACTACATTGTATTGCGCTGCATTGTATTGTATTGCACTGCATTATAATGTATTGCACTGTACCACATTGTGTTGCACTGCATTGTATTACACTGCATTGTTTTGAATTGCACTGCAATATATTGCACTGCACCATATTGTATTGCATTGCAGTGCACTGCATTGTATTATATTGCACTGTATTGTATTGCAGTGCACTGCATTGTATTATATTGCACTGTACTGTATTGCACAGTATTTTATTGCATTGTCTTGAATTACACTGCATTTTATTGCACTGCATTGTATTGTACTGCAGTGTACTGTATTCTATTGCACAGCATTGTTTTGTATTGCACTGTATTGTATTGTATTGCATTGTATTGAATTGCACTGTATTGTATTTTATTGCACTGCTTTGCACTACATTGTATTGCACTCTATTGAACTGCGATGTATTGTATTGCACTGAATTGTATTGCACTGCACTGAACTGCGATGTATTGTATTGCACTGTATTGTATTGCACTGCACTGTATTGAACTGCGATGTATTGTATTGCACTGCATTGTATTTTATTGCACTGCATTGCACTACATTGTATTGCACTGTATTGAACTGCGATGTATTGCACTGCATTGTATTGCACTGTACCACATTGTATTGCACTGCATTGTATTGAAATGAACTACATTGTATTGCACTGCACGGCATTGTTTTGCACTGTATTGCATTGCACTGCATTGTATTGCATTATATTGCACTGTATTGTATTGCATCGTATTGCACTGCATTTTATTGTATTATATTGCACTACATTGTATTGTATCATATTGCACTGCATTTTGTGCATCATATAACACTGCTTTGTATTGCATCATATTACACTACATTGTATTGCATCATATTGCACTGCATTGTATTGCATCATATTGCTCTGCATTGTATTGCATCATATTGCACCGCATTGTATTACATCATATTGCACCACATTGTATTGCATCATATTGCACTGCATTGTATAACATCATATTGCACTGCATTGTATTGCATCATATTCCGTATTTACCATTTCGTTACAGTTTTATTACATAAAATGTTATTTATAAGATTATAATTTTCAAACATTGAAAATATTTTATACAATATCAATTAAAAGATATGAAATGGCCCAAAATAATATATTTTCAATGGAACCCTTTGCAAGGGTCACTTCAACATAACGCCATGTGTAATCTGTATGCATACGCCCTCTTTTAATGAACATTATCTTTGAAACCATATTAGAAACGAATCTGATAAAAGTGCGCATCATGGTCCTGGATGTGCTGCGCGGTAGAATCGGGAAATTTCAAAGTTCTCCTTGTTAGAGCCATCAATATTATCCAAAATTGTCATTTCGCTGGTTCACTCCGCAGTCTTTCGAAAAAAATCAAATTCGTGGTGCCACGAATTTTTATTCGTTATTTATTCACAGATAATCATTTTTTCATCGCGCACTGAATGCCGGAATTTCTGCGCACTTTATTTTAATTAACTTTGCACAACGCGGCCCCTGTAATTCATTCAGTGCGCGATGAAATCTATCTGACTGGGCCGCGGTGTGTGATATCACTCCCATGTTAAAACTCCATTCGATTTTGAATTATGCGCATGTCCCCTATAGCTTTCCGTACAATATAATGCAATAGAATACAATGCAGTGCAATACAATACAATGCAGTGCAATACAATAAAATGCAGTACAATACAATACAATGATGTGCTATACAATACAATACAATGCAATGAAATGCAATTCAATGCTATGAATGTACACCTTCTACAGTCAAATAAACACAGATAAAATTGTAATAGTATGTTAGTGTATGGAGTTTGAAGTGGGTGGGGGATACAATTACCAGTCTGCTGATTGATGACTTAATAACTTAGAAAAGATCTCCTAGCTTTTAACAGGTGGCACTTATGTCTACCTTATGTTCTTGAACAATCTCGTCTAAGAATACAGACCCGTATCCTGGATTAACCTGGGGGAGTGGTTTTACCAAGGGGGAGATTTTGCCAAGAGGGGGGAGTTTTTTGACAGTTATGGCAAAAAAATCATGCGAAAAGTGCTAAGAATGGTGAAAAACTGCATGATTTTGAACGAATATTTGGCAAGGGGGAGGGGGGTGAGGCCCCCTGGCTACGGCCATGGAATACATATAGGAACTTTCCTTCTCCCAGAAGAAATGGTATACAGGTATTACATCAATCATTCTGGTATTTTGTATACGAAGGTCTGTAGTTACTTTATTGAAAGATGGCAGTGTACACCGTGTACTGCCATTTTTAGGTCAGTTTGACTTTATAATTCTGCGCACTATAATCTGTAATTCTCATAGATATCCTCTCTAGAGGCATCACTGTGATCCAAAATTACAATTTCGCAGGTCAAGTCTGCAGTCTTTCGAAAAAAGTTGAATTCGTTGTGCTACCCTTTCTTGTTGGGCATTTATTAACAGAAAACTATAATTACATCGCGCAAGCATATACAAGCTTCAGCGCGATATTTTGAGTATGTTAATAAATAAAGTGCGCAGAAATCGATCTTACTGGGCCGCGGTGTGCGATATCACTCATAAACAATTTTTAATTGCGCACTGAATGAATTACAGGGGCGCGTTGTGCAAAGTGAATTAAATAAATAAAGTGCGCAAAAAAATATATCTGACCGGGCCGCGGTGTGTGATATCACTCCCATGTTAAAACTCCATTGAATTTTAAATTCTGCGGTATATCCCCTTTCGCTTTCCGTAGTATAGCATCTGTCAGTCAGTCAAAACAGTTTGTCTGCGAGTCATGTCTAATCAATTCGTTTCATTCTTCCCAAATATTCAAAAACAGAAAAGTATTTTTGCATTGAAATGGATTGATAAGTGACTTTTACATTGATAGGCTATTGGTTATTTTGACATACTGTCTTTAATTTAAAAACACCCAAATAATGTAAAAAATCTCTTATATATTCATAGGATTGGCAGAAGATATCCTAAAGTAAGGTTTTCAAATAATTTTGCTCATCAATTGCTGAGAAATTACTTGTTAAATTGCTTCCCATTTTCGGTACAAACGCCGCTATGAAGTTCTCATTGCGTTGCTCTGTATGGGATCTTTTTTTGACGTGCTACTTTGAATTTCTTAGTATTTACATACAATTTATTTGATCTTTTTCATTTATTTGTTCCTTGCCAATCATACTCCTGGGCTACTTTGTACGAATTAAATTTGGTTCATCAGTTGCCGAGTAAATATTTGTCAAAAGTGTCTCATTTTTATGGACATCCGATATACTTTATCTAGTATATATTTAATGTGTAACCAAATGATGTCCATACCTGCAGTTTGTATTTGTCCGAGTGCATTCACAATTGGCTCCAGGGCTACGTTATCGTTGGGTGATATCTGGAAGGACATATATCATATTGGAACTGATATTGGCCCGGACAGCATTGACCGTTATTTACTATTTCTGATTACTTCGTCAGACAGCAACGTCTTTTGTTGACATTTACGCTGTTCAATCAAGGATAAATTGTTGACACACTTTGAAAAAGATTCTAAGCATTACCTTCGGCCCAGTTGAACAAAAAATTGTTTGAAATGACAAAGTGTATGTGTACCTCAAAAAGTACGGCCATGGCCATTACGCTATCTGGTTCGGTGGCCGAAGCACCAATCGCTTCCATAAAGGTTCCGAATTTCGCACTATAACTCCCAATGTGCAGCTAAAATTTAAAAAAAAGTATGAATATATAAGCACAGGTGCAAAAATACGCAATTGCTTCACAAAAAAGCATCATTATATTTCAATTATGACAACGATCCGACAATATCCAAAACTACGATCTAGTTTGTAAAACAAGTTCTTGCATAGCTTCAAAGATGTAGACAGTTTTGCCACCCATGAAGCAGGTGCTATTATCAAATAATGGAAATGCATTTAATCACATGAATCCGTAGAATACACGGGGGTAAAGCAGACCCGATGATGCAATGAGCTTGCTCGGCGGTATCATGACTGTGTAAGGGGTCTTAATGTATAAGTGTGCTTGGCGGTAGGTTCAAACAACGCGGATGCTCAAAGCATGTGCTCATGGTATATTCGTGTTTTAACACCAGTGGAATAGGAACCGGTGTTTACCTCAAGTGGAAATTGACGACCGTTGATTGTGTGATCAGATCCCCATCTAAAGTGGAACCCCTCTGTGATATATCTGCCATCCAGTCCGCCATTGTAAAGGAAAACTCCTTTATTCTCCCCAAGCAACATTCTTGCTATTGTGGTAAAACCGATTTCAACATTATTGATACCCAAAATTATCATGATTTATACATATTTATCGCACAGATATCATAAATTGAAGAGGTGTAGTTTTAAAACATTGTTGGAATCACAAGGACTCCATTGTAACGAAAATGTATCAGGGCTACGTAAATTACATTCAAAGGACCATTCTCGGTTTGGAGAATGGATTTCATCGGATTATTTCGACGTTATCATTGTCGCCAACAATTTTGATTTTTGTATAGATATATAAGCACTAGTGCCAAAAGGGAAAGGACCAAAAGTTGTAATGGAACTTAGCAAGAAAAAGCAAACTCTAAGTGCATACCAGTCAAGAAAAAATTAGAAATTAATAGCCAATTGATAGCCAATACTCATAACCTCAAAAATTGTTGTAGATACAAGTACTCATACAAGATAGAGCATTCAGTCTCAAATGATGTGGGATAGATAAAATCCAGTCTCCAAGAGTAGATTGAAATGTGATCTTTTGAATATGTAAGACTTAATTAGATGCTGTTATCGAGGTAACTGGCATTCTATTGGTTTTACTCTTTTTCTTATAGTTTTAATAGGATTTTTTCTTGTATATTGCCTCGATTTCTCGGTACAAGGAGCATTGTTCTACATTTTTGTACCTACAAGGAGCAACAATTTTTATTTTTTACCCAAAATTTGCATATGCCATTCCTCACAATTCTCATTTCACAAATATTCCTGGTTTTTAAATTGGGTGACCCTCTTTGAAAAATGGGGCACCCCAGTGGGACATAATTTAAAAGTATGACCTGGATCCTAATTCTAAGGAAATATAAAGTATAGAAGCGCCCGATTCCAAGGAAATATAAAGTATAGAAGCGCCCGATTCCAAATATGCTTCCGGTTTTGGAATCCGATCTCTGGGTGACCTTGAAAAGGTCAAAAAGTTCAAAAACCATTGTATTACACTGTACTCAGATAGAGTAAATTAGGTCAACATTTTGACCTTGACATTTGACCTTGACCGTAAGGAATGACCTCAAAGTCCAAAATTGGGATTTTCGTCTATTGGACTTTTACACGTGAAATATTGAGGGGGGGGGGGGGTCGCTAATATATGTTTTATGAAATAAATAAAAATATCACCATAATCAAATCTTAAATATTCAAAATATCACATTTCAATCTACCGATGAACGTCATTCTCCAAACCGAAAATGGTCCTTTCTTATTATCGTAAGTCTTGGTTATTTATTAGCATCAGCATATTTAGACTCGAATTAATATTACAGCATATCAATATAATAGTTTGTTTCGGTTATACTCACCAGTAGTCCCTGTATTTTCAAGTTCATTATTAGCTTTTTTATCAAAGTTACGGAATCCGAACGCATTTAAGCTCGAGTCATATTCTGCGGCGCCAATATCTATGTTAACGGGGGACTGGTTCGCCTCTCCACATTGCGGGAAGTTATCTGCCCATGTAACTGGTCCTGCAGTTGAAGAGAGTGTCAAATTATATAGTATTACAGTTATATAGCCGTAATCTGTCTATCTTGGGAGGAGAACATACCAGGTATATGATCTGAATAATGCTAACTTACTTAAGAAAATTGTTTTGTCTCCTAGAAACCATTGTCTTTTAAATAAATTTGAATAACAACTTACCTAAACTGCCATAGTTCCATCCTGTGAATGGCAAAAACATTAAGGGTTAATTTTAAACCTATATGTGCACTACAAATATTTATTTTTGTGTGCCTTTTTATTTAACATTATTCCGATAAATTAATAAATAAAAAACATATACGGTATATACGGATTATGTTTTAACGGAAATAAAGTATTGTTATAATTTGGTTTGATCATATACTCAATAGCTAATGATCTCTTATGGTCAATATTGTATATAAATGTTGAATGAAACTCTAAGTAGAACGTACCTTGGCTATTAACTAACGGTAAAACAGCTAATATTAACAATATCATACTGAAATAAAAAAAAAAAAAGAATTATAGTTTTCTTTTCCCTCTAAAGTTACTTTTACTCAGATTTACTAAGTTATAATTGTTTGTTATTGTTTCTATAAACAATTGTTTAATTGCGCAGAATATCAATAAATGTATTACATCAAGATGGTCTGTTAACATTGTTTTGAAATATGCAATAAAAAACTTACACGTAAATAAGTAGCGATCCCTGAGTGTTAGTAATGAAGGTTCTGGATACAAAAAGTAAAATAAGATAATCAGGGTTATTTTACAGATCTATTAATAACGTTGGATTGACTTAATTGACATATATATACTAATGGTGTTTGTGCATGAATTGTCAGGCTGTGATGTTAATTTATCATTTGATGTATTTTATCTTGGCATTCCAACGATTTTTATGCCATTAGCTTAATACCAGTACCAATCACAATAACAGTAATAAACAAGTCAATGTAAATCGATACAAAGAATTTCAAAATTACACGTTTTATCACCTTAAATAAATCGCTAATAAATTAATTACTTGTCAATTTGTTTTTAAATTCTTGACTATATTCGATTAAAATACTCTCTAAAACATTTCAACCACATACAATTTATTGAAAATTAGGAGTCTGTGTAAAATGTTTACTAAGTATTACATAGTATGAGGGGCTTGATTACTGAAATTAACACAGTCAGATCAAACGTAGCAAGGATCTCAGAAAGGCGAGGCAAAAAATGGTTAAAATGCAAATAAATTAATTTTTTTCTGTAAAACGTTGGCTAAACAATATGAACCAAAATGACATCATTTTTAAACTGGCTGTCAGAGAAAGGGTCTTTCACCCAATGCATTACATACGGAAGATGGATGTTTTTTTAATTTCATGTATAACTATTACAAAATAAATAACATGCATACAACCATTTCACGAAAGTTTAGTCAGAATACCAAGGAAAATTCCCGATGCTATTTTCCGCTGCCACATGTATCTCCGAGTCACAAAATACAATTGTGTTTTTGTTGTTTTTTGCCAAGATAACAATTCAAATAGACGTTGATGTCATAGTTCACCAAGACCCCCAATTGCATTATTGAATTTGAATTTTCATAATATCAACCATTTTTGTTTCAGAAACATTTCCTTTTGGATATAATTATGCTACAACATCATCAAATATATTTTCAGTGAAGTTCCCGACTTAAGTTTTCAATTGTAATCATCATGTACTTTTGCGTTCGAGCTTTTTCACCGGACAAGTACTTTCGATTTGCAATACAATAATCATTAATTATACAAGATGTCATTGTGTAAATAGCTATGTTAACTAATTGCTACTACGGTCTAGTGGTCAGATTTTATTTGCTTTCAACACAGGTACATAGTAGCCGTACCAGAACAAGTCGGATTTCTCTCTGCGTTTAATGGATTTTCAAACCTACTTTTTCTAAATAATTTTGATTTCATAGTTGATATGCGAATTTATCCCGCAAAAATGAAAAAGCTTAAGAAAATGTCCGCATCTAGATCTTAATATGTGATACGATATCTGGGTAACATTGGCAACACCCTCTATCCCTTAATTTACTTCCTTTAGACGCATAAAGATTTCTATTTTATATATAATCCTTGATACAATCATATGGATCATATTTTAGATAAAATATTTCAAGATTCAAAATGAGACAGACATCCCCGTTAGGTACCCTTAAAGCACATCGAAGCACGTCTAATGGGTTGGATAATTATTGTTTAATTAGCAAACATGCAAATAAGACATGGGAGGGGGGGGGGCAAGGACAACCAATTGCAAGAAAAGGTCTAATGAGAGAGGAAAATTAAGTTCGACAACATTTCACTTTAATATTGATTAGCCATGAAATTGTAAAACTCAAAATGAATACAATTAGGAATGATTAAAGTAGAAAGATTATCGATAAATGAAACTTTTTTTAAGAAATTGATTAATCATTCTGTCCAGGCTACTATTTCAAAATGTAATGCCCCAATTAACGCTTGTCACACAGAAATTTCTTTTGGAGAGGTGATGTGTGCACTTTTGTAAGTAGCTAACGTGTCAAAACGTGTTCAAAACGCAGCAAGAACAAGAAACAACCTGGAGTAAAATCACTCATAAGGAATTGAAGGCAAAGCAACAATATCCCAAACTCTATTTATCTGCTTGCTTATATCGAGATTATCATCTATCTAGCCTACATGATATTTACAAATATCATTTAATTCATCTGATGAATTGATAAGATCACTTGAACCAAGTGGTTTCATCTGTCTCAATAAATATAATATCTAAATAAATATTAAACGTTTATAGCCTTCAACGAGGAAAGGGATTATATGATTTTTACATATACCGGATCATTGCTTCCGACAGTGAACTTATCAATCATAATGACCAACATTTGCTGATCAAGCCTCGTTGTTTTAAGTTCAGTGACCAACTGTCGATATATTAGTGTACATCATTTGTGGCATTTTACTAATCCTTGACATATTGCGTACTGATTTTAACCTCGTAAAACTGCACTTAAATATGTCCTATTTTTCTAAATAAAAGCGGATTTATTGTCAAACTGCATTAAAATAAATGAATAAACCCTTGTTTTATTTCTTCATACATGTGAAACAATGCGGTCTTTTATCATATCATGTCCGTGTACATGCACATTTTTATGCGTCGTTGATCAAGAATTATATAGACATTTTGACAATATTAGATCAACTTCTAAAACTAAACAGCATAGAATCTGGAATAATCATCGCCGTGTACTGTAAAAAGACTTAAAAATCTTTTTTTCAGTCGTCGTGGGTCATCTTTACCGACCATTTAAAATCGGCGCGACCACTAAGTAATAAGTATAAGGTGTATTCATTTATTCTAACAAATCATCTTCTATCATGTGACTCTACAAATATGATTGGTGTGTCTTAAATCATCTGCATCTAAGATCGCATCACCAAATGCATCATACTATGCAGGTAGCGTTTGAATATCATTTTAAGAAACAGTTTTCAAAATAAGCTCAACATTTTCTTATCTCTGGTATCACAAGCCGTCAAATTAACATCAACACCGTTTGAGGCATATTTTACTTACTCGTAATGGGTCTGTAACAATATCTAATTCATTGTCAAATTATTTTCAGATTTACAATATCTAATTCAATGTCAAATTATACTTTGGAGAATATAAAAGATATTGTTTGAACCCAGATCACGGTGTTATAGCATGACGGATACGCCACCTCTGAAAACGAGGCTAGTCGAATACGATCACTGATTTATCCAATAAAATGGCCACGATGAAACAGAAAGCTAAGGTAGGTGCATTATTTTCTACTACTGCGTATCAATAAAAGCATGAAAGATTTATGTAAGCGTCGCATTCGGTGATGCATTCAGTAATGTTTATTTTGAACGTAGTCTTTGCAAATCGACGCCCATGGATAACATGAAATAAGCGAAAAACTGTCGAGTTTGAATTTCAAAATTTCATAAAATTTAGTAATTTGTTTCTTTTCCTCGTTAGGACATGCTCTACATTGCGCAACAACCTTGGTGTATATAAATGTAACCTACATACGATAATACAAAGCCAATTTAGCATTGTAAACCACTTAATATGTTCTACTCAAGCCATAATAATGTATTTTGAATTTGCGGATACGCCAAAAATTGATAGACAGTTACGCGAACCTCGTTCATATATGTAACACCGAATCATTTCATATCGCTTGTGATCCAAAATTGAAATGTTTTTCAACCGGATTTGAGTTTTGTAAGCTATAATAGATGAAATCGTATTATTACCACCTTGCAGGGGCTGTTCTAGGGGTTTTAGTACTAGTTGAGAAGGCATTTAAATTGCTATATTGACGTGAGCAATATTGTGTCGGGCGTTAATGACTTTAGTCGGGCAATAATGACATTATCCGCCCGGCTATGTTTCCCGGGAAAAGTGATATCGTTCAGTGCGTAAGATTTTCTATATCAAATTTGCTATTTCAGCCCTGGGCTAACTTTGATTTGTCCTAGATTTTGACCTTGACCTTGATATGAACTGATTTCCCAGCAAGTCCACCTCAAGTCTCATATAGATTGATATATTCTATATAACCTGAACCTAGCTTGAAGAATAAAAGCTGCTAGAAATAATGCATAAATAGATAACATCTGAGAAATCTAAAAAAAGAGATTTGACTGTAAGTCCGTTTTAACAACGATATAAATAATTCTCAATTTTAACACCAATATATAGAATTCTGCTATGTCACTATATTTCAGCTATAGTAAAAGGTTTAAGCATTAACTAATACGACTTTCGAAGTGTAATGTAATTTTGATTTACCACCACAACATAGCCTCTGGTAATATATGTCACTCATGACATCATCAATTAATTTGGAGTTGTTTTTTTCCGTCGCCTGTTCGTTGTTACTAATTTCTTCCTTTGCCTCTTCATTACAATCATTTTCACTTTCATTGGCTTTCGCTATTTTTTTCCTTGCCCTATAGAGGCTCAAGCAAGAGCGTCTCGTGCGAGTCCTGAAAACAAAAAGGTAGTTCACACATAGAGAGTTATCCATCTAGCGACCTTGACTTGACAGGAACTTGCATGTAACCGTCCGCTAACGTCTAATGTAAAACTAATACAATGCGTTGCTGTCCATAAAAAATCATGCAATACATACGTATCTGTCTAACGACCTTCCGATTGAAACCATATTATCTACAATATTCACCACATTTCTGTTCTGCATTTGTCATTTTATGGCTTGTTTATACACAGTTTACGTACAGTTAGTATTTTGAGTGGCTCTGAGGCACAACTGAGAAAACACGAAAAAGGACTAAAAATTATGAACTTCGAAATCTCAGCCGGGTAGGTTTACAGCTTATATTCTGCTTCTTGTAGACCACACGACAGATTTAACTCAATCTTTATAACCATTCACATATGCATCACCGAATGGAACTAGTTGAAAAGGAAAGCTTACCTGTGAATCTTGCCTACAGGCGAAAAAGAGGACATGCTGTCTTTCCCGTCCGCCATTTTTTGTTATCGTTACCACAAAATTTGCCCAATTGCCTTGTCGTATCACACCGTGCAGATAGGGGTTATTTTTGTTTTCAATAGAAATGAGATTTGATATTTGAAAAAACTAAGGAATGGCAGAGGTCACTGACAAATGAAACTTAACTTGGAGCTAAGAGGATAAAATGGCCCCAAGCAACAATCAGTACATATTTATTACACAATATATAATACCAGACATCAAAGACAATGGTTGTCATACAGATACCAAAATAATTGTGAGTTAACAGTGAACAACTAAACAGAATTAAGAATAAATATGTATTTAAAATCTCAGTTACAAACAATTGCATAACATGTAATAAAGGATGACACAACGCTTGCCCGACAATGTTACATCAATGTTATCGCGAGCCAATCATTTAACACCCTTTGATGGAGGTGACAGATCTGGAAAGTAAGAATATTGAAGTTATCACAGAGTTCACAAAACACAAATAGCATTTTTGAAAAATACTGAATGAAAAAAATAACCTACAGTCAGAATTATATTTGTAAATGTTCAAAAGCGATGACAGTGATAATGGGGATATCAAAGTCATTCATGATCAGAAGAAACAAGTTAAATTTAAAAAATAGTTGAAAACTTAAAATTGGCGAACTGTCAATGTCAACGTAACTAACGGGACATCCTTATAATATCTTGTAAACAACTAAGCTTATGTATATGATAACTTACAGATGCCATCAGCAGCCGCGCATACTCTGTTGACGATTTCTTTCACAATGTTTTCCAACTCATTGAACTGTTCCAGTGTTTTGATGCCAGTAATGGTATTTCTTACAAGTGCCTCATATTGTAACATAGCTGTTGGAACGATAACAGCACTAGTTATTTAACCAAAAGTGTTTTTTTTATTACGTAAACATTATACATGATATGCACACAGGTCTAAATAATTATAACACATTTTACAAATAAATAGGTAGTATTTTTAATAGCTAACCTTCATGCAAACAGAGGATTTCCAAGAATGTATTAATCTTATGCTGGTATGCAGCCTACATACCTTTTTTTGCTGCCGCGTGTTTCTTAAATGGGTCCCCGCGATCAGGTCTATTTGGAAGAGCAAGAACGTATACGTCATTTCTCCAATTTGCTTTCAGTTTCTTAGCAACACGTTCCACTTCCTGCAATGTAATTGGTATACTATTTGGTTTATACCGATTCTAATCATAAGATAATTAAGAATAACTACAATGGCGGATTGCAAGAGCTAACAAGGGTGGGTCCAGATTTCTACAAAGTTCTACAAAAAATTGTGGGCCCTTGGACCCAAATTTTGAAAAGGAGCACGTAGGTTATCGCAAACAATTTCAAACGATTCTAACTTGAATTATGAATATTTTTTTATCATGAACATGGGTGTATCTTTTAGATCCATTCATTATCTTCAAGAAAAGTATAATGATAATTTAGTTAATCAGACCTAAGTGATATTGAAGGGGCAATGGACCAATCAACATACTTTTTCAAAAATGTTGACCTAATTTTCACCAAAAATGCAACCTTTTATTATATTATTGAATGCATAATTAGAATGTGGTTTGAGAAATGTTCGATTTCCTAAAAGGAAAATTTGATTGCTCCCGGGACTTTAAAGATATTCAATTTGGATGACCAAAATTAACTGAAACCAATGGATAGCATGGGATTTTTCAATGGAGAAATAACATGGGGAACACTTATCTTAATGCAATTAAATTTTTCTTTCAAGAACTATTTGATACATCAAAATAAAGAATAGTAATGCATTAAACATTGTAAAAAATGATTGCATTTTTGGTGAAAATGGGGTCAACATCTTCAAAATGGGGTCAAAAAGTGTGTTGATGGGTTAATTGCTAGTTAAATATCTCCGAGTTTGTTTGAATGTATTATTACTGTGCATAATTTTCTTTGAGATAATGAATTGATCTAAAAGATAAACTTGTCTTCATTGTCAGAAAATAGTCATAATCCAAGATATAACCTTCTGAAATTGTTTGCGATAATGAATATGAACTTCTTATGGAACGATGCACTTTGGACCTCAAGATCACACAACCTAATTAATAAAGTATGATTACGAAAACTACCCTTGTCGCATCTTCTTGAGTTATGCATGGGTAGTCAGTGGTGGGGCATTGTATAGTGCCTGTGCTCATATGACAACAACTAGCTGTACAGCATGGGTAGGCCACACCGTCAGTTGCCAGCATTATGAAGTTGTTGACATCAACTCGGTCTCCACGATCCTTTTTCAACACCCTTGAAGCAAATGAGTCCCGTCCCGTAAAGTAAAATAGAGTTGAATTATTACTTTTCATAATTGAAAACTATTTGAGACATTTTTTTAAAATGTGACTTTAAAAGTTCTTTATGTTATAATTTTCAAATGTTTGAATGTGCCGCTAGTGCGGAAATAGGTCATCAAATACAACAGTTTAATCCTGTAAAACACAATACTTTCTCTACTCCTCTGAATAGATCAGGCATTTACAGGGTGGTCCAAAAAAGTGAACCCCTGCAACTGGCCATATTTCCCTTATTACTTGCAGGAATTCTTTTTTATTTTCACATGTTGTAGAGAAAGGTCTAAAATTTATGTTGGTACCATACATTTTTCTTAGTCTTGAAATTTGCAGAAATTATACGTGATAATATGAGCCAATTCATGTATTCATTCACAAAAATGTAGCCTGTTGCAGGGGTTCCCTTTTTTGGACCACCCTGTAAATTATTTCAACCAATCAATCTATGATTTTTTGCATATACAGACTTGTAAAGCATTTCTACAAATTTGTGATGTCGTGAGTATACGCTATGATCTCACTCAGGTGGCCAATTTTTCTCCAACAAATATTTTCTAAATATCCTCAACTTTCAAAAAACGTTAAAATATTGTTGTCCTATCAAGGTCGAAATGATTTTATATCATGTTTTAAATATTAATATACCACTGGAACCGACGAGAACTAAAATGTTAAAATGCTGTTTTCTCTGAACCACTATTCTGCGCTTATGAGTTAATTTCTTGACCAATTTATTCTTTTTTCAACACTAAAGGACGATTCTCGGTTTGGAGAACAGTCTCCTGGGCTAATAACTTTTTTCATGAAAAATATAGAAATATTACCCAAATTAAACTATGAATATTCAAAAGAAGACATTTAAATCTACAAGATGTAAAAATAACAAATTGGTCTGAAGCAGGGGTAACGCTCAATTAGACCGATTCAATAAAATACAAGTCTCGATTTGGGGAAAAAAGTTCATCAGTGTACTGCGCTAATATTTTTTTGCGAAAAATCTAGAAATATTACCCAAATTAAATTATGACTATTCAAAAGAAGACATTCAAATCTATATTATGTAAAAAAAATCAAATTTGTCCGAAGCAGGGATAGTGCTCATTTAGATTCATGAACTTCGTTCTCCAAACCGAGAATCGTCCTTTATTGTTTAATTACAAAAAGTGACAATTGGTGGTCGTTCGACCCCTCACCTGTTGAGAACATATCGAAGTGCTGCATCTGTACGTGTCCCTACACCCGTATAATCTATGACACTATTGGTCAATATATCATTTGTTCCTGCATAGTCCGTTGTGTCATCAAGGTATTGGTGGATTCTCACAACCTCATCAAATGAAACGATGGCTACTCTAACTTTATCGATCCCTGTATTAAACAAAATGCGTTAGATGCTACCCAAGTAGTCCAACTCTTGTCGAATTGTTTTGACCAAACTATTTCAGTACTTTACTTATTTTATTAAATACACTCGATAGGTGTCTATGTTTTTTCTATGTTGCTTGGGGCTCTACATGCGTATCTTTCATGAATTGTTATTAAATTGATTACATCGCATAATTCATATTTGAAACATATAATACATGTCTTTAGTTCAAAATACAAGATTCAGTAAGCCACAAACCAATGGGAATTGCAGCTAATAACTGTTTAAAGAATTCCTTTACTGCAATCAGATGTTCAGAGTTGATCTCATGGTGATTGTCTGGATTCTTTGTGATCCGATCCCACTCAGAAGATGTCAGTAAACTCTGTGACGTGTCTATTACCAACACAATGTCAAGTTGGTCAGAACAATCTAGATGTAGACAAGTGATTTCCTGTCTATATTATATTTGTGTATCTATGTTACATAAATTAATTGAAAAATTAAATAATAGTTAGTACTCATCTTGGTCATTTATCAGAAATGTCATGAAAAGTTTGTAAAAGTTTGTAAAAGAATCTTGATATTAATGCTTTAATCTGAATATACTATTACTTGAACGTTCAATACTGATTCGTACCACAAATTGATATCTGATCATACTTTTTTCGCCTGTACACGTGTCGTAAGAGTTGATGATATGCGCGAAATGACCTGCTAAACCATCATTGTTGATATCAAACACGTGGTCATCTTTGCCCCCAGTAAATCCATGCAGCTCCTCATATCCATTGCGTGCGTTTTGATTTTTCAAGCCGATGGTGTAAATCTCGACTCCATGTCCTCTCAGTTTGGCGGCTTCTGCAAGCGCGGCTATTGGAGAAACAAAAATAGAGATTCATACAATAATAAATTATTCAATATAATTATGGTCAGGTCAGATATGGAAATTATCATTGGATAATAATCTTAGCTCATCAAATGTGTTAATTTGGATATTTCAGTAACTGATGATAAATTAAAACCTTACATGTTCGGGCTCTCATAGGGATGGAGATTCCGTCTGTTATTATTATCATGACGTCAGGAGCAACTGTTCTGATTCCATAATCACGCTGTGTCGTTTCGTTCCTCTGGCCTCCATGTAGGCCAAAGAACCTACAAACAACAGTAATAATCATAAATCATAATTAAAGTACCTCAAAATCGAAATAAATGTTAAATGAGAAATATATATAGGAAGGACACAATCATTTGAATTACAGGTAGTTATACGAATAATTACGTTATAAATTATCAACAATTAAAATTAACATTTAATGCAAAATTAGTTTTTTTTCAAATAAAGATGGCATGATGTTATGTGAATCTATATATCATTAAAAACCATCTTAAACCTATTCAAATTGAACTTGAGTGCTTCTGAGGTATGCGTCCTACAAGTGGTCCGCTGTCCTAAAGGTTGTGTGTCGATGAGTCGCATGACAACATCATTGTTGGTTGTATTGCTGTGGTAAAAGTTCATAGTGACTGGGGCACTATATCTGTAAAAAGTGAGAACGGCAACCGTCGATGTACATGTGTAAAGTTATAGATTTATGACAAATGAGTGGCATATACGTATTCTGTTTATTTCCTGATGATGAAAGTAGTTATCAAATCACTGTTTGGGGAATGAGTCGATGAGTGACATTGAATATAACAGATGAGGCATTTATGTGTTAGATGAAGACCATACCTTACAAGCGACATTAACACGGCATCAGTCCCGATAATAATTCTATCCACCAGATCCAAGAGGAACTCCTTCACTTTGTGCATGTCATCGTACACAGAGCAGCTCTCGTCAATGACCAGAAACACATCCACACAGGCTTCATTTATATAACACAAAAATAGTAACATTGAAGAAAAAACGTATCTGTATGTTTTTCCTATATTTTCTTGGTATATTGTTAAAATATCCTTTAAAGTATTGGAATTTGTAAATAATTTTCAAAACATTTTTATTCAGATGATGAATCGGTTGTTTAGTATTGGATCTAGCCTTGCCCAAGACGATACTTTCTTTTACGTATCTTGATCTTCAATATAATTTAAATAAAAATGAAAAATAAAAAAGACATAGACTTGGGCAAGGCTACATTGGATCATCCACAATAAAATGAAAACATGTATGTCCAATCATTTCAGGATATATAAGTTTTACAAAAAAGTATATCTAGTCTCAATCGACTACTTGACCGCTATATAAGATATACATTTATTGGGAACACCAGGGTCGAACTGTCTTAGTGGTGGCATGCTTGACTTGATAACACGATTTCCAAGTTGTTGGGTCGGTCTGAATGTATCCTTCAATGGATTCCCATCTTTGTCTTTTAGCCTTTTGAACGCTTCGAGCTGCAAAGAATTGCAATTTAGCAATTTGAAGTGGTCACGATCCATTAAAAGTGTGGATAAATTCATATGTAATATGATGTATTGAAAAAAAAGAATTATGGTTTATTTGTATACCATAAGAGAGTCAACTTCATCTAGCATTAAAGAATTGATGGAACAATCCTCTATACGTTGTCTCTGGTATATATCACAAGTTTCACCGAAAGCAGTAGGGTGTAATGTAATGAAGTGAAATATAATGTAACGCATGTTATGACTGATTGCATCTTACCTGTGTCTCCGAGATCAAAACAGTGTCCGAGAAAACCGTCCACAAGGTATAAAAACATGGTGGGTTGGAAAACCTTCCCTGGTATCTGTAATAATTTGTCGCTGCAGAGAATGGCAGTAGATCTTTAAATCGGAGACGACCTCTGACCTTCACCTTTGAACCTATGGTGATAAATAATTGATATGCATCATCAAATACTTTATGATATGAATATTGGCATATAAAACACTTGTATCTAGAAATATCGTATCACCATTCAAGTTTTATTTCAAGTTTCTTTGGTTTTCATTTCTGCAACCGTTCACATTTATTATCAAAAGTAGCAAACGATCCATATAACTGACTGTGTGTACTGTCGAACCCCATGTGTCGACCCTACCTGCAGTCTGTACCTGTTCGAGTGCAGTCACGAGTGGGTCCAAGTTTTTGTTATCAGAAGAGGATATCTGGAAATACATTCATTATTTCTTATTTTTGTGTGCAAAATATAAAAATATTTGTACGACTTGGATCTGGATGCTAATGATTTGCTAAAATAATATACCTCAAAAAGCACGGCTAAGTTGATAACACTGTCTGGTTCAGTATTCGAAGCTTCAATGGCGTCGTTCATTGTTGGAAATTTCCTGTTAAAACATACAATTTGCAACTGAAATGAAAGGAAAAAGTCGTCTTAGTAAAGGTGTCGTGCTTAGCTACAATACTGAAATTGCATTTATGACTGCTATAGTTCAAAACAGGACGGAACAATCAGTAGTAAAAGAAAAAAATTGGGTGATTAAAGGTAAATATAAAGGTAAAAAACGAGGTTAGCCGGGGAGGTTAGATCTTAATTTTTCTTCTATCTATATTGTATGAGTCCGTAATGTCCAATGTCAAGTATGAAACTTTTAAACTAGAGTATAGCAAACTAGTATCTATGTACCTCGAGTGGAGACCGATTGCCGTCAACCGTATGCTCGGATCCCCACCTAAAGTGAAACCCTACTACGACATAGCTTCCCTCCAGTCCGCCATTGTAGACGTACACTCGTTTACGAATTCCAAGCACCATAATTGCTGAAATGCGAGGAGGTAGTTACCAGTTTCACCACCAGGTTCGGGCCAGATATCAAGGCGGATATAGTAAGCTCCCTTGAACTTAAATTACATCTCTTTTAGTGGTTCAGTTTTCATATCACCTGTTATGTATCTAATAGTTGTGCAAATTAAAAATATCTTCAGTAAAAGGAAATGTTCAATACAAGAAAAGATATTTTATTTTTTGTGATTTTGTAACTGGGGTCTATGGAGAATCTCTCCAAACTAGAAGTCATATTTTCAAAAAGAATTAAGTTGACAAACAATTTTTAAACCATATTTCTAGATGTACTTTAACATATAGATTTCAAATATGGCATCACTTTGAGTGGATTTTGAATATCTAATGACGTAAATAAAGATTATTTCTACTCGCATCATTTCTCATTGAAATACAGGGATGGGGAATGTATTATAATTATCGTTAACTACATACTATGGTTTCTAACACAAACTAAAGAACATTTGCATATCTGTTGTCTTTGAAATTCGGCTTAATGAGAGCAATGAATCTGAAAACAAATACAAAGATTCAATTCAGAATTTATCTGCTGTAAAACTGTTAGAACAGGCGGATGTGGTGGCATTTATAGTAACTAATATTGGGTATGAAACGAGATATGATTTGATTATGATGTGCAAGTTATTACTATTGAAATCAATATGAATGTAACAGGCATTTCCTGATTACAGTTGGTTGCAAATTTTTTTATGTTAATACTGATATTTTAATGACAAATTAAGCCTTTAGTTTAAAAGGAAAGTGAGATATTTTTCTTAATGGGGATTCTAATATCGATTTGCCGAACGGTTTGGAACAGTTTATGTTCTTATGTTCCTTTGTCCTTTATCCTGCCATCTTGAAAAAAACATCACATTCTTTCAATTAAAGTGTATCTTTAAGACGAGTAACAGTCGAAAAGTTCAAAAAATGATTGATAATTTAAAAGATTCAGAGGTAGGGTGATATTTCACTAATTAATTAAACAATTATGAATTGGAGTGGTAAATTTACTTCTGATCTAGCTACTTTACTCAATCAATCTATCGCTCTCACCTCTTATCTTTCGAGATGAATTGAAATAAATAAAACGAATTAATGGTGCTTTAGTGATTGCAGACCATGATCACTTTTGACAATATATTATAAATAACAGAATTGCACTGCTAGTTAATTGAAAAGTTCAAAATTATTCGTATGAATAAATTTGGAAAGAATGAATGTACTTGTTAGACATTTTTGACTTCCCAAGATAATCGTAGGATAACAATGGAGAAAAACATCATTTTAAGAGTTTTGGATGTAAGGAAAGTGTATGATAGGTTGATCATTATATTCTTCGACATATACTGGATCTTCGTAGATTCCAGGAAAAATCCCTTGATGAGTTCAAAGGCTATATCAGTAACAGGAAATAAACTACTTTTGTCAAAGAATACTCAAAGGGAATGTGACGATGTGGTGTCCCCAAAGGACCTACATTAGGTCCCTTTCTCTTCATCTTTATATAAATGATCTAGGACAGGAGTGGGACAGGATAGTAGGAGTGGGCCAATGAGACACATCTTGATCTTCTGTTTAAGTTACAGAAAAGATTTTTCTCTTTCAAGTTCGAACTCTAAATATAACTAGACTTGGGAAATTGAACGAAGTTCAATTTCAGACTCCAGATCCAGACTTTTTTAAGCCCAGTCATCTAAAATAAGCCGAGTCATCCAGAATAAGATGGATGGATAAAACAGGAAGGTAGGATAGGATAGAATGGGAATGAACGATAGGATAGAATAAGAAAGAAGGATAGGATAGAACAGAATAGGAGGAAAGGATATGATAGGAGAGGATAGGAAGGATAGGAAGGAAAGGATACGAAGGAAGGATAGGATAGGATAGGAACAGATAGGAAGGATGGATGAATTTTTCAATATTTTCTTCTCTACTCTTGACTTTCTATCAGGATACCATCAGATCGATTTTCCGAAATTTCAAAACGCCATAACTTCCGAACCGAAAGTCGGATCGAAATTTGATGTAAAGATTCGGATTCCTGACAAAATTCTACCCCTAATTCATAACTCATACATTAAATTTGGCGAATTTTTATTTTGACCTACTTTTTGGACACGCCATAACTTCGGAACCGGAAGTCGGATCGAAATTTGGTTTGCAGATTCGGATTTCTGAGAAAATTCTATTCTTAATTCATAACTCAAACGTTAAATTTGGAGAACTTTTTATTTTGACCTACTTTTCGGACACCATATCTCAAAAGTGGGTCAAAATTCTTTCTGACGGCAAAAGGCTAACACTATTAGCCCACTCTTGGCTACATATATACACAATATCGAAGAATATAATTAAAGTGTAGTGTCAGAATCGCAAAAATAAGAATAAACTATGAATTTGACCTAGATTTTGACCTAGGGATTTTGGTGTCCAAATTTTGAAGTTAAGTAGCCTTCAAGGTCCCCTTCTTTCATAGGCTTTCATTATTTTAAGCTGTACTTAGTCTAAATCTCGTAATTTACACTTCAAAAAAACCTTATTTCCCATTGCCATAACATGGGGCACCAAATTTAGCGATTTTTGAGCTTTCAAAATGTCATAACTTCCAAACCGGAAGTTGGATCGAAATTTGGTTTGCAGATTCGGATTCCTGACAAAATTCTACCCTTTATTCATAACTCATACGTTAAATTTGGAGAACTTAATATTTTGACCTACTTTTTGGACACCATATCTCAAAAGTGAGTCAAAATACTTTCTGACGGCAAAAGGCTAACACTATTAGCACACTCTTGGCTACATGTATACACAATTTCGAAGAATATAATTGAAGTGTAGTGTCAGAATCGCAAAAATAAGGAAAACCTTTGAATTTGACCTAGATTTTGACCTAGGCATTTTGGTGTCCAAATTCTGAAGCTAGATGGCTTTTGAGGTCCCCTTCTTTTGAAGGCTTTCATTAAATTAAGCTGAACTCAGTCTATATTTCGTATTTATCACTTCAAAAAAATCATTTTTCCCATTGACTTAACATGGACACCAAATTTAGCGATTTTTGAGCTTTTAAAACGACATAACTTCCGAACCGGAAGTCGGATCAAAATTTGGTTTGCAGATTCGGATACCTAGGAAAATTCTACACCTATTCCATAACTCATATGTTGAATTTGGAGAACTTTTTGTTGTGACCTACTTTTCGGACGCCATATCTCAAAAACGGTTAGAGTTATCAAAAAACGATTTGCCTTTCGGAATTAGCTTTGTTTTAAAGGAACATGACTAAAAAAAACGAGCGAAAATATCGAAAGACGACCGAGAAAATTGAAAAAAATAACAAAGTACTGGATTTGACCTAGTTCTTGACCTTTGACCTAGATAAAAATTTGACCCCATTTCCCACCAACTAGATACTATACCTATATTGACCATATAATAGTCTTGAAAAGATGTCTTATAGTTGTTGAGAAAACTCGATCAGTATAATAAGAATAAGAAGAATAAGAAGAACTAGATTTTGGAAATTGAACGAAGTTCAATTTCAGACTCCAGATCTAGACTTTTTTTAGCCGAGTCATCCAGAATAAGCTGAGTCATCTAGAAAGAGATGGATAAATAAAATAGGAAGGTAGGATAGGATAGAATAGGAAAGAACGATAGGATAGAATAAGAAAGAAGGATAGGATAGAATAGAATAGGAAGAAAGGATAGGATAGGATAGGAAGGATAGGAAGGAATTGATATGAAGGAAGGATAGATAGGAAGGATAGGGTAGGATGAGATAGGAAGGATGGATGAATTTTTCAATATTTTCTTCTCTACTCTTGACTTTCTATCAGGATACCATCAGATCGATTTTTCTCGAAATTTCAAAACGCTATCACTTCCGAACCGGAAGTCAGATCGAAATTTGGTTTGCAGATTCGGATTCCTGACAAAATTCTAGCCCTAATTCATAACTCATACGTTAAATTTGGAGATTTTTTATTTTGACCTACTTTTCGGACACGCCATAACTTCCGAACCGGAAGTTGGATCGAAATTTGGTTTGCAGATTCGGATTCCTGACAGAATTCTACCCTTAATTCATAACTCATATATTCAATTTGGAGAACTTTTTATTTTGACCTACTTTTCGGACACCATATCTCAAAAGTGGGTCAAAATACTTTCTGACGGCAAAAGGCTAACACTATTAGCATATTCTTGGCTACATGTATACACAATTTCGAAGAATATAATTAAAGTGTAGTGTCAGAATCGAAAAAATAAGGAAAACCTATGAATTTGACCTAGATTTTGACCTAGGCATTTCGGTGTCCAAATTGTGAAGCTAGATGGCTTTTGAGGTCCCCTTCTTTTAAAGGCTTGGATTATATGAAGCTGAACTCAGTCTATATTCCGTATTTTTCACTTCAAAAAAATATTTTTTCCCATTGACTTAACATGGGCACCAAATTTAGCGATTTTTGAGTTTTCAAAACGCCATAACTTCCAAACCGGAAGTCAGATCTAAATTTCGTTTTCAGATTCGGAATCCTGAGAAAATTTCCTATAAGACTAATATCCTGCACATTTGATTCGGAGAACCTTTTTTTGGACCTGGTTTTCGGACACTGATATCTCAAAATCGGTTTGAGATATCAAAAAACTAAATCGACCCTAGGTTTCCTACTTTTTTATAAGGAACACAATGAAAAAAACCCGGATCGAAAATATTGAAGGACGACCGAGAAAATCGAAAAAAGTGACAAAGTACTGGATTTGACCTAGTTCTTGACCTTTGACCTAGATAAAAATTTGACCCCATTTCCCACCAACTAGATACTATACCTATATTGACCATATAATAGTCTTGAAAAGATGTCTTATAGTTGTTGAGAAAACTCGATCAGTATAAGAAGAATAAGAAGAATAAGAAAAAGAAAAGAGGCAAAAACAATAGACTCCAGATTTCATCTGGAGTCTAATAAGAAAAGAGGCAAAAACAATAGACTCCAGATTTCATCTGGAGTCTAATAAAGTGCCACCATTGCCGAAGATTAATGATATCTTTAAATTATCATCTTCACAGACAAATATATCAAATGCCCGGACAACCTCACACTTGCAATCTTCCCAAAGTAAGGGCAAATTATCAAAAGAAGCATCGAGACTCTTTGAGGGATTATTTGAAATTTAACTCAATATATTGTAATTTGATTGAATGATCGATTTAAACATCATCATTCTCATCGTTCAGTGCATGCTTCAGCTACATCACAAACATGTTGATTGGATTATCTGTGCTGTTGGTATACTTTTGGGTACATTGTTAAGACCCTGTATATCGGTCATACTCTAGTCATGACGAAACATGTTGAAAAACATAAAATATTTCCGAAACTCTTGACATTAGAAATAATTGAAAAATACTCACCAGTATGTCCTGTATTTTCGAGCTCATTGTTAGCTTTTTTATCAAAGTTATGAAATCCGAATGCATTTAAACTCGAATCCGTTTCTAACTTGTCTGTGTCAATGTCCACAGGTGACTGGTTCGGCTCCCCACATTGAGAGAAACCATCCCCCCATGTAGACGGCCCTGTAATTAATAGTAGGCGGTAAGATGTAGCTCTTTCTGGGTCTTCTGGTTAATGTTATGTATAACATAGACATTTTAATTGTAAGCATGTTCATTTGTGCGTAGACCTATTAAGAAAACATAAATTTCATAATGATGATTCATGTCACATCATTTGTATCACTTCAAATAATTGCATTTCTATAAAAAATATTAGCATAAACTATCTGAAAACAGAATGATGGATAGTGTTTCAATGTATCTGTTTCACGGTGATTGTATGCATATCTCTATTACCATTTATAATGTTAGTTCCAACTTTATATACCCGATACATACAAATACTTATATGCACAAACAACACCTTCAATCAACCAAGGATCAGTGGCGGATCCGGAGGGGGGGGCATAGTTTTTGGGGCCCATAGTTTTTGGGCCAAACATTTTTTGTAAGGCCTCAAAGTGGGCCTTTTGGGCTTTAAGGCCTTTTTTGGCCAATTTATCAAAAAAGGCACAATTAAAGGGTAAATCCATAAAATACTTTTACTTCTCAAACAAGAATTGAGCCTGGGACTTTATTGACCTGTTGAATATGCTATGACAGCTAAGTTATCTAGGTCAGGTAGGCTTTATATTCTACAAGTTGACTGGGCCGAAAGAATGATGCACAAACCTCAAAACGCCATTTGAAAGTAGGGAGGTCACGTCCTGAGGCCCGGGTATACAGTAAAATAAAGTTTCTTGTGTTTTACAACTATCTTGTCATTTGCATGAGTAAGTAGCCAAGATAGTATATTTACATATACACTAGGCATTACCAACATTAGTAAACTGGGAGATTATTAAACATTTTATAACGTATGCCAAGGCCTCAGGTCACGTCCATACCTTGTCTATAACAGACGTGGGAGGCCATGGCATTTACTGGCTAATGTATGGTGTCAGTACAAAGGAATGTTTAAAAGTCAAAATGGCCAACGGGCAAGATGAATTATTCCTGATAATATATATTATCATTGAGACTCTGACCTTCAAATTCCACTGCAACATTCAATAAGGGAGCCGAATCTATGACATGGAGGCTACTTCCAAATAGTTTAAAATAAAACTTTACTTAAAGAGGGCACACTGCCAATCACCAAACAGCACTGTTTATTAAACAGTGCTGGAAATGTGCTAGGAACATAAACTTAAACGTTAACAAAACTTGGAATCGGGGCGTTTCTTTTGACCAGCAAGTTTCACAACGTAAAGTGTGCAAAATCTTCAGTTTATTTCAAGGGATATACCAAGTATGCATATCTCTCTAGAATCCCTTAGATATATTGTTAGACATCAAATGCTTAAGTCATAAGGAAAAGTGATGAAACAACCCAATATTATGCGAGTCATTCTCTTAAGGTATCCATGGAGATACATATTCATTTGTTAATTTACAACCCTCCGAATCAATATATTTTGTTCCATCGCACAATTTCAATTTCATGTACAAGTGATTTTGACATTTACATTAAAATACTGATCATTATCTTTGATATCGGTTACTTATATCTAAATTATGTTTATTATATCAATAATTACTTACCTAAACTTCCATAGTTCCATTCTGATGCATGTAAAGGATGAAATAACAGTTCACGTAATATTAATGGCATCAAATGCCATATCGATTATAGAGCATGCAATTTATATGGTGAAAATGAATAGACTCACGTTTTGTAATTTTATGATTTAACATTTTAGATGATACTTGATTAGTTTTAAGTCAATTATATGCAATTTATAAATAAAATGAAACAAAACATTTGCAATAGTACGTACCTTGACTGTTAACTAACGGCAGTGCGGCTAACATTAACAATATCATCCTAAATTAGAAGCGAGTAAACGTAGGTTTTCTTTCCTAATATGAAACGTGCTTTTTGAAATAAAATTATTTTTTTCATTGTTGACATTTAGCATTGCTCGATGGCGCTATAGTGTAAATTAAATTAATAGTGTAATATGAAAGTATTTAACGCATCCATCAAAACGTAAAATTGATATACTCACACATTTATGCAGAATGCTTGTAAATGTTTAATTGATGTAATTGAAAAAACGTAGGAGCATTTTTATGTGTTTACATCGTCAGGCATTAATCCATGTGTTATTTGTTGGAATTACAGTAAACAACCAACGATATGAAAGGTAGCAATATAAAGAAAACGAGAAGAGTGATAAGATGTATAGCAAAATAACAATAAAGTAAATGAATGGTTTGGACTTTTTAATTAAGGTAGTATTAGACAATAGTCTTTCTTTACACATCGTGTGTAGTTTGGTATATTTTTGGCTGAACTGTTAAAGTTCACTGTCATATGGTGTCAGTAAAACATAGAAAACGAGAAATCAAAAGGCCATTGTTCAATAATAGAGACTTTAAGCTAGCACTGTTTTTAACAACCTAAACGCGAACCTAAGTAAGCGATGCATTTGTAAGGGCAATTGCTCAGACGTATAGGTTGGCGTTTCGATTTTATATGCAAGCTTAAACTCCTTATTATAAGGAAACAATACGAATGACAGTCGTATATTTCAGATTATTTAGTTTTTTGTGCAATAAGCCTGTGGCCTGTTGTGATTTAAGGACTATTAGCCACGTTATTTTTTTCGGAAATTACATGCAGAGAAGCATATCAAAATATAAGAGGCCAGATATTTTATAAGCCAAATCACAAGCAATGTAGCATATGTACCTTTCACTGTCAAAGAATGTTAATGGCTCTAGATCTTGATCTTTGTGTAAAAGAGTTGTTTGATGAATCTTGGAATTCTCTTGATTGTTGTACCTGATTTCAATATTTTCATCGTCATCATTACATGACATGATATGGACCCATTTTTTCAAGTTTACTGTATGAGGGATGAAACCTTAATTTTTCTTCTGTAATAGCATTTTCAAGTTTATGGATTTATATCCAGTCTATCAATTTTCAATTCTTCTTGAGGCTGTCTTGTAAGGGTGTGTTCAATTGCTTCGCTGAATGAGGAATGATTAACTAAGCAATTGATACACAGGAAATCTGGCCAGTTGTTCTTCTGTAAATATATCATCATAATAAAGTATAATTTATGATAGCATCCATTTGTTACCGTTCTGGATCCAAATGATACATATTGGCATCCGTTTTATACATATATGTTACGTTTACGAAATGTTGTTAAAATTTCTTCCCTATTACAGGAATGTAGTAGCTGAAACCTTCCTACACTGTATATTGTCATACTACAGTGTGTCTCAAAAAAATGTTACACTTACAAAAAGTTCAATATCTTTCATGATTTTGACTTTTCCCCTAAAATATACTTTGATACCAAAAACCCAGTCGAATAAATCCACACCATCAGATTCAAAATCCGTCCAAGTTTGACTGCACGGGACAGATTTTATGGATGCATGTGAAATCTGATTTGCGCCAACTTCTCAGTGGTTGGATATGTGGTGATCAATTCTTTTTTGGTGTGAATGCTGTGGACAGATATATCTTGATATGATCAATGATCCAGTTGTTTCTTTCCTGGATAGAATTACAAGATTTCATTGTCAGAGTGTTCAATTTTGTTACCGTATGATGGCAACAGGATGGTGCAAAGGCCTGTGGCAGATTGTTTGGTAGAACTCTTTGGAAATCAGAAGATAGCATTGAATTACAAAATGGATTGGCCCCCAGGGTCATCCCACTTTACACCCTTGATTTTTTGAAGGGCCTCTGAAAGCGCTTTACGGCATCAGAAACTGACCTAAATGGTCTTCTGCAAAAATAATTGATGAAATCAGTGTGATATTAGAATGCATGTGCGCATGGGCAAGGGTACCTCAGATTTGCTCTGGAGAACATTTTGAGGGAACCACATGCATGTTTATGTGGATAGACCCAATGATCATATGTAAGCCAAATAGGAAAATTACAGAATGACTCAGTTAAAGGTCAAGTTTCTACTAAGAAAAAGTTAAATGTTAAAGAAACTGTTCCTCTTTTGTCATTTGGTCCATCTAATCACTTAGAAGTTGGCGCAAGTCAGATTTTACCATGGGACACTAAAAGCTGTCCTGTGGAGCCAATCAAGGACAGATTTTGAATCTGATGGTGTCAAATTATTCGAGAAAGATTTGTCTTTGGTATCTAAAGTATATTTTAGGGGAAAAGTCAAAATTATGAAAGATATTGAACTTTTTGTAAGTGTAACATTTTTTGAGACACACTGTATATATATATTGAATATATATGCCATATTTCAAAACGCAATGTTTAGCAGAAACTTTGAAATAATTACTTACCTCGACTTGCTGTTATATTTTTGCAATGACCCCATACCCTATAATGTACGCGAGCACTTACGATACATAACATGTACATGACTGCATCCACATATTTCGACTAACCACAGTGTTAAATATGAATAAAACAATGGCAGGTATTATAATATTTATTTGAGGGTGGGCCAAAAAAGCAACACCCAAGTTTTAAGATGAATGATTCATATGATATATGTTAAGCCATGCCATGTATTATATATCATTTTAAAGATAAATCATTCCCTAACAAAATGACACCATTTAATTGAAAAACCTTTGTTTTCACGTGGAGTTAGAGACTAAAACTGACACCAGGGGTGCCGTGAGTGACCAAAAATCAAAAAATTAAAATTCCCAAATTTCCCTGCATATTGCAGTCACAGCTGTACTCGTTGAGTATTTTTGCTGAATTTTGCACTATACACTGCGTCAAATGTGAAGTTCCAAGCAATTTCTAGACGTGCAAAGATAGTCTAGAAACTCCGCGTATCTAGAGATTCCAAGACGTGTCAAGAGGTGCAAAGACCTCGCGTGTACAGAGCGTGTCAAGAGTTTTGATATCTCACTGCCTTATCAAAACAAACAGTATAATTAGACCGGCTACCTGTTGTTATGCGCTATAGTCGCGCTTAATTATACTTTTGGAATATAACAATCGTTTTAATTTCATGTTGATAATAATTGATGTTTTTTAAATCATTATCAAAATAAAATTAATTTTAAAGTATGTGTGTGCGCGTAAGTGTAGGCAATAGCTTAATCGAAATGAGTAGACGTGTGCAGATGGAAATCGTCTTTTAGAACAGTTTGAAAAATTAACAAACTCCACTTTCAACCGTGCCCGTAGCCAGGGGGTTCGACGGGTTCGACGCCCCCCCCCGGCCAAAAAGTATTTCAAAATCATGCAGTTTTCACCATTCTGAGCACGTTTTAAGTTACCCCCTTGGCAAATATACTGGCTACGGGCCTGATCAAATAGTCAAATATGTAGATAGAACATGCAGGCCCGTATACATGGGGGGGGGAGTAGATTGGTTCTAGCGACCTCCTCCGTCACCAAAAATGCATTATTTTACACCATTCTGAGCACTTTTTAAATTATTTTGGCCATTTTCGAACTAACTATAACTTTTTTTTTTTAAAGTAACCCACCCCTTGGCAAATCCTTGCTACGGGTCTGAAACGTAATCAAGTCTATATTTATAACAAATATGAACCTGAATCAATAACTTGTACTGTAACAACTGTCGCTTATTGTCACCTGTATTGATCATGATGGGGCGACGGCAGTGCCCAGTCTTTTTGATCTTATTAATCTTATTAATTACTATTTAAAATTGAAAAATTTAAGACCCCGGAAGCAAAACAACTCTTTGTTATGAAAAGAATACACAACCCACATGGACAGAACCCCTCATGTAAACCAATCTATAAATACTTTTGAAAACAATTTGATTTTAGATCTACATCTAAATCTCAGGTGGATGGTACTCTTTGACAAGATGAGCATTTAAAAGTGTAGGGAAGTTCTAATAAAGATGTTTTATAGCTAATTATTCAGACATATTTTTCTTTCATGTTGACGATCATCGAACATAATTGCAATCAACACTCATGATATTTGGACCCGGGTATTTGTAAATTAAATTATAATTACCGCATGAGTTTATATTTCGTATTTTGCTTTAGCTAAATATGCGTTCTCAAATCAAAAAGCATCGCAACATTCTTTTTTATTGTTAACTTGTCATAAATTAAGAGGGTCTGTTTAAATGGATATTTCCAATAATCAACGAAAATTATTTCGTCTTGATAAGTACCAGGTCCGAAGCCAGCATTTGCTAAGGGAATGACTTTTGAATTATTCCAGGGGTCGGGTCACATTTGATAATTGCTCAAAATTACAAGAAAACTGCTCAAAGTGGTAAAAGAATTATTGACCGGGGATGCAGTATTCTTTTAAACAATACATCTCTATCTGTCGGCGAAGAGGGGGAGGGCTAATTTTATAGCTGAAAATACAGATAGCTTATGATCTATAAACATAATCTTATAATAAACAACTATTGATTTAATATCTGATATGTGGACGGATACTTCTTGATTTGGTTTAAAAATAAACTGAATGTAGGGTTGCAAAAATAAGGGAGACAAAGACATTCGAAGGGTGGGGGTAAAATTTTATTAAAACTAAGCTGAGACAGAATGAGAATAAATATATTTGTTAGTTGCTCATGTAAACGAAAACAAATTAAAGGGTTCATTAGCACCAGACCATAATTGCAAAATTGGGGGAGTGCATTTTCCCAGGATTTCAAACAATACTATATCTAAAATGTTGCCCCTCATATGCCTAGGTCCCATTTGCTCCAATTCATCTGCCGGGCGCCGGCCGATTGAGTGTTTTGTTCAAACCCTAATTTACAATTTTAAACAAAATACTCAATCGACCGGAGGCCGAACGATGATTCTGAGCAAATATGACCCAGGCATTACAAGCATACGCTTGAACTACCAGTTTCAGTAGCCCCCTGTCCTTCATATATTAATACTTTTTTTGTACCCTAGTCTAGACCAGATAATCAATTAATTAACTGTTTGATTGGGTTTTTGCTTTTAATGGACAGGATATCCCAAGATTACCTTGATTAGAGCATGGGCTTTCAAGAGAGTTCATGATTGCACTTTATTAGAGGCTATTTTTAATTCCCCATTATTTTAGCTACGTACATGTATCTCTGTTTTCTGGCTCTGATTATCATATTCAATTTACTATAACCAATTTCACCCGGTTTTCGAACTTCAAAACTATCTCAT